TGAGTATTCCTACATAGTTTCTGTTTTTTTCCCTCCTTATAATTCACTTCCCATGTTCATTTCTCTCTCTAAAATTTTTGGATGCATGCTATCTTTTATCAGACAGTTAATTAAACTGCTTCAAACCTGTGTTGTTTATTTTGTCTCCTTTGTTATTGCTGTTAAAAAATGTGCTGTGCAGCAGTGTCTTTAGAAAGGGATAACAGGCAGTTCAACTAATGCTTAAAACTCAATGTCAAGACTGTGGACTAGTGAGATTTTTTGGGAATGTGAAGTCCTGCTTCCTTTCCACCTGCTCATTGCTCTGCTAACATGCAGTCAGCATTTGTCTTGGCATAAGTTTAGTTCAGTGTCTTGGAGTAACTGGCCTGATGAGTTGTTAAACTCTGCTCGTCTCAATTAACAGCTGTGATGGTTTGATTTGCATAGATTAAATGGTAAACCTAATATGGCTCCTTATGCACAATTAAATTGCTGGAATTGCTACATACAGTGAGTAAAATAAGAACAACTGAGAGAGCAGCTGGGGGGAAAAAGGACAAAACCCTCATTAAATTTGCAACAAGAGTCAAAAGTTATTTGTATGAAAATAGATAAAAGATGAGGGAAGACTGTACTGGAGTGCTTTGCACAGGATTGGGTTTTGGTCTGGTGGTGGTTCATTGTCATGAGCTGACAAAATCTGAATCTTACCAAGTCCAAAAATGGTCTGCAAAATTCCACACAGTCTCCTCTTAGATCCAAGCAGTAGGAGAGGGGCATCTTCTGTGTTCCCTTTAGACTTCTGGTAGAACTATTAAACTGAGAGTAGAGAATGCTGTAGGGAAGAAGCCCTAGCATTCATTGACAACCTGGAGGCATGAAGTGTGTATCCAGCCCACTGCCAGGAAGTCTGTCATTTGTGATGGCTGCCCTATGTATTTGCTGACCTCTTTGTTTTGTTGACTTGGAGGTTCTGTTTGAAATTGGCAGTTGTAAGAACTGAAGTGAGAAGTGTTGCCCTATTGTTAATGCATTCAATGCTAGCTGTCAAGTACATGAAAGCGAATGGAAAAGGATTCTATTTATTTCTGTATAGCATTTTCAAAAGACATCTGTCTCCTTTAAAATATATTTGAAGCTTCAAAACTCTCAGGATACAGCCATAAAATCCCTATGAAAACAACTTACAACATAATAAGATATTAGTCTAATGTGTTGAATTTCCCCCAAATGGAAAACAAACCTTTTTTCTGCTCCTCTGGCCCATCATATGGGGCATATACAGCATGCTGGTGTATGCAGGGCAGCCATGAACTGTCATCTTTCAGAGATTGACTGTGGGCTACTGAGATTTTATGCTACGTATCTGAATCTTCTGTTTCATCCATGGAAGAAGACTGTAAAATGTCCTTTTCTTCTACATGACTTGAATTCACTTTCAAGTTTTCTATTGGGTGAAATTTAGTTCTGTGATGATTGAATTAACTTTGGCCTTCTTTGTTGAAGTCTTATATTTAGCTAATCTGGAAAATATTGAAGTCAATGGATTAGGAAAAGAATCACTAACTGCCATGAATATTAAACAGTGCATAACTATCATCTGCAAAAATACAGGTGTTATTTCACAGCCAGAAGAGAAGAAATTCCTTCTGTGGTGTGAAGAGAAGACGTGAAACAAGTACTGTTAAAAGTGTTTCTCCAAGTACAGTGAGCATCTGGAAGTGCTCAACACTGGAGAAACTGCCCATGAGAAATTTTAAGAAGAAGAGATTTTAATCTTTAAGAAATCTTTAGAAATCTTAAAGAAATTTTTAACTTTTTTAGAAGTCGTAACTGTTGAATACGGTTCGTGTTTGCTATACGGAAGCTGGCTTGTGTTCCCATGTGAGCATTATGTATGTGCTGCTGCAGTTAATCCGTCACAGGTTACTTTCAGGGTATGGCAGATGACTGGAGTAGTGTGTGGGAAGGCAGATTTGGGATAAGTCTGTCACTAAGCCACCTGGTTAGGGGCATGACCTTTGGCAAGTGCCTTGGTCTCTCCCTTTCTGTTTCTTCTTTTTCTATTTCTTTATCTTCTTAAATTAAAAGATAGACTTTTTTGGAGTACTGGTAATTTCTTTTGTATTTGTGCAGTGCACAGACCTGAGTTTCAGCTAAGGCTTCTGTCATTTAATAAATAAACTTGCTTCCTCTTTCTATAGATCAGATAAAAAATTGCTATTCCAAGAATGCTTTGGGAAAAGCAAGGGTTTTATCTGTTGGTTTTCTTGCTATGAGCAAGAGAATTTCAGTAGTCTTGGTTGGTTTTTATTGTGTTCAGTTGCTTTCTCGTATTCAACAACAACTGCATGAAAACAGCACTGTTTAAAAATTTTTCTGTACAGATAAGTGAAAATATGGGCCAAGTAAAAAACAGAATCACCTACTGGATGTGAAATCACTTTACATGAGTTGAGTGAACATCAGCTTTCTCTGCCTTCAGCTAATAAATGTTCAGTTGCTGTGTATTCTTGTATGCCAAGCAAATATATTCACCATATGTAGCAGATTCATGTGACTGTTGTATAAAAGTACCCAGAGGAATTTCAGTAGTGTGATGGATACTTCATCTGTTTGCTTCTTTGTTATCTTCTGCAGTAGTTTTCCTGTGAGCAGAACACACACCTCCTTTCTCCAGCCTGCCAATGATGCCAAAAATAATTATATATTTTTTTTCTTTCTAGATCATTTTTCATGTGGGTATAAGGGGAAATTCTGGGTAGGCAGTTTATTTTAATTTGTTAACAATATTTGCCGTGATCCAACCTACTGAAGTGTAATCCCAAAAATCCCAAGCACATCTCAGAAGTTGCAGAAACCTTTTAGGAAAAAATTGCATAAACTTGCCATCCTTGCGGAGATAGATCAAAAGCTTTAGCAACCCAAGCCCCTGCTATTTACTTTGACCTATGATTATGAGGTGTTAGAACTAAACACCTGCAGCTGAATCTACCAGAATTATTCTGTCAGAGCCCTCTTGTAAGGATCCATTGTTGAGAGACGCTTTAAGTCATCAAAAACTAAAGTAAAACTGTGGGAAGTTGTGAATTGATGGTAATGATGACATCTTCAGCAGACATGGCTCAATAAAGGAACTTGGCTTAAACTTACAAGCCTTCCATTCATCATTGCTTTTACCACATTATTGCTCTGAGACCTTTGAGTTGTTTATTCTTTGTTTCCTTAGTGCTTATTCTGAAAGCAGTCAGTAGGAAGGTTGTCAGTGTACGTGTATATGTTATTTCAAAGCACACTGATAATGTGTACAAATGTCTTTCAGCTAAATGAACCCTGCATCCAAGTTCCTTTCTTGTTGGTCTTCTTTACGTGTATTTTCTGAGCTAGAAATATGCCAGTAATTCCTGCTACTGATCAAGGGATTCTTGATTTGTACGGATTTGGTTGGGATGGGGAACGTATGTGGTCCTCTATCCTGATAAGTGCAAAAGAAGCCTGAAAGAAGTTGCCACTGTGAACAGACATTGAAGCAAAACCAAACTGGCTAACTACTAAGGACCAATGAAACTGAGATAGTTGCTGCCTTACTTAAGTTCATCCTTGCAAATAAATGTGTTTTCTTTGAATAGGATATCAGCCAGCCCAATTGCTCTGCCATGTCTCAGAAAGCATTTTCTATTGTGGAGAATTTAAATAGGATGTGAAGGATGCTGGTCTAGATTCCCATCAATTACTGCTTTGCTCCTCGCTCTTCCTCCCCTCCATTTCTGCTTGAATTCCTTTTAATAACCTTGTTAAAAACTGGTAAGGCATTGTCACTTATTCCCTATTAAAGTCAACTGAGCAATATTGATTCATAATAAATGCAAATTGATCCATTGAAGTCAATGTTGAATCTCACTTGACAGAAGCCTGTGGTTCTAAGGATTTCTCAGGGCAGCCAGTGTAGCTTATCTTTGCCTACGAAAATGCAGAATAGTTACACGATGCTTTACAAATAACTTGCAGTAATTAATAGAATTTGATGATTTGTTCACATATCCAAGGAACTGTTCAGTGCAGTTTGCTCGAATTGTAAAAATATTTGCTGATTTAATTCACCTCTTTGAAAAATGTAACGTGAGCTAGTAAATTGTCATTTTGTCCTTCAGAACTGTCTAGCATCTCAGGATCTGACTGTCACTTTTAATTGCATCCTAAACAACAGATTTAACAGAACTTGAGAAATTTTAATTGCTGATATCCTTAAGTGTGAGATGATGGGTGTAACTGCAACTAGAAGGTTGAAAATTCTGTGATTTGATGTCTTGGTGTAGTTCAGTAGTGTTTAGTCAAGAGAATAGCTTCCCACCTATACGCTGTAATTAATATCTTGATATTTAGACAGTGTTGTCTTCTGTCTGCATTTTGGCTTTGCCTGCCATTGTAGCGTGCAAGTGTTCCACCCAGAGTCTAAAAATGATTGAATTTAAACGTGTATCTGTGCATTTATTATAAGCAGACATGCTACAAATAGAAATAGCTATCATAAATCTAGTGCCATGTGAATATAGACATGTACGTGATTACACATCCCCGTTCCTGGCTTTTGCCCTCAGAATGCCTTCTGAAGGTCTAAGTTTGAGGATATTGCTTTACTCTGGAAGCCAAGTTTCTTCCCTGCTCTCAGTAAGGTAGTCAGGTTTGAGCTCCTTGTTGCATCTGCAGGGAGACATTTTTTAAAAAATATACGTATATTTATCTGCACCAGGCCTGTGATGTCAGGTCATCTGTTTGTCTGCACATCTTTAATCAGATCATCTACTGAAAACATGTGGTTTTATGATAGAGCCAACTGTAATTGTAAGCTAATCTTCTGCCTCTGCACCTTCAGTGCCTTTGGCTTCATGCCTGGTACTACTCTTAATGGTATGTTAATACCAAATAATGCAAAAACATTGCTTCCTTAAGAACTTAATAGGATGTACTGTCATGGAGATAAGTGCTCTATAACACACACTCTTTTTCTTGTGTTTTAGAAAAATGAACTGAAGGATGCTGTGCAAGAAAAGAATCGCCTGAGCCTTCAGTATGCAAATGTGTCACACAAAGCCCTGCAATATGACCAGGTACCGATCCTAAACGCAAAACACATACGTTGATTTGTTACAGTTGTCAGTCTTCAAATTGGATAAAGATGGATTGAGTTAGTCACCTCTAGTTTTTATTTTCTCTTAGAAAACACAAAGTACTTTAATTTAAATTAAGTTATGTATGAATCTGACAAACAAATGTTATTTTCAAGTGAAAAAGACAGACTGGTAGCTGGTACAGAGATTATCCCTGATGCATCTTTTGGTAATTGGTATTAGGCTTTGGAAAAAAGATGACTTTTTTTCCAGTAATTTTAGTGAGACTTGATTGAAAAAAAATCTCTGATTTTTTCCAAAGAACGCTGACAAGAAGGATTTCTCACTGGCAGTGTCTTTTCCTTCCCTTCTGCATTTTTCCCTTGCACTTTTTTCATTTCTCAATAAAATGTTGAAATGCCATTCATTGTCCAGCAGTGAATTTCACAAATTCTGTTGTCAGCTGTTGTTTTCCCTGTAGCATGACATATGGCATAAGTCCGTGGTCTCAGCTATTCTAGGTCCTGTTTTCATAGAAGCTTTTTTCTTTTTTCTTTTTCTTTTTCTTTTTTTTTTCCTGTTTTAGGACAAAAGATCTTCCTGAGTACTGAGATTTTTATCTATGGCAAATACTGGGTGGCTTAAGTAGCATGGGCTGACGTGCCTTACCTCATCACATATGTATTCAGTGGAAGAAACATCATGAACCAGCCACTTTACAAGGCTACATTTAGCTAAAAATAAAACTCCAATCTGGGATTTCTACAGGGCTTAAGTGAGTTGCTCAGCAACCTCATTCACATCAGAAGAGCTGTGCTCGTACAGACGCTGATGAAAGCCCAAACCCCAAGCCTTGACAAACGGTGGTGGCTGCTTGCTTTGATGTCTCTGACACACGTGTCATAGAGCACTGTATTTCCAAACCAAAGGAGGTCTGAGTTAGTCCTAAGACAAAACAAAATAGTGAGATTTAGAGATGGCTGTGCACGTACTCAAAATTTTCCATGTAGCACCCGATATCAAAGCAGACTGGAAATTTTTAGTTGGTGAGGGTATAAATTATTTTTATATCCAAAAGCAGCATGACAGTGTGTTATACTGGGTGGAAGATGTGGATCATAGAGTTACTCAATTTAATTCATCCATCTATCTGGAATTTCTTCATCTCCTTAATGTTTTTCTCCTTTTAGTATTGTTTACATACTGCCCCTACTGTTTGGTTCACACACCACATAAACACTTACATAGGCAGTTTTATATTCTAGCTGGCAAAGAAATAGCATGCAGCATTAATACAGTGAAGGCTTAGTGCTTTGGTGTCAGTAAGATCAGCTCTCTTACTATCAGGAAGTGGTGAGTTACATGGTTAATAATACCTTATGATAGGTAACGTTTGTTTCTTTCTGAAGTGAACAGCTTGAGAAACACTGGAAAACCTAATAAAAGCAATTTAAATACAAAGGTGTGGTATCAACCTTAGTCACACTTAGCTGCTAAGTTATTAATAAAATTACCTTTCACCATTACAGTGTCAGGATTTATCATACTATGAACGTTTGTAAAATGCTATGCAGGGCACATTACAAAAATTCAGTGTGTCTGTGCTACTGATTTTTATATCCCAACCTCTGTAGGATCAAAGACTTCCTGTAAGTTACCCTACCCTCTCATTTTCAACAGTTTTAAAAACAAGTGAGATATGAGGAATTTTGCAGCATACCTTGGCTGTTAACAAACCTTGTTTGTTCCTGCTTGTCTAACAAGATCTGGTGTTTTTTCTTTTTTTTCTCCTTCCCCCATACATAAAATGAGACTGAGGTAGATTGTATGGTTTAGATTATTTCTTACTATTAAGAAAGTGTGAAACTAAACACACATGAATGTTGAGTGTAGAAATGCAATGGAGTTAGAGCTCAGCCCTGAAGGGGAAAACCTAGTTTGTTCTTTTCCCCCTTGAGAGCTGACCTGAAAAGCAGGCCAACTTTATCTGAGCAATTGGAGCTGGGAGAATGTTTATGCATTCTGCTGTGTAGCACAGATATAACAACTGCTCATTTATGCACAATGTAATTGTTGAAATTCTGCTCTAGGAAGGGGCAAGTATGAGTTGTGCTACTTTGGAATAGGAACAAAATTGTGCTTAATTTATGCAGTTTTGTGTTGTTACTCTGCATAAGAGGAACAAAGTTACATTTCTGGTGCAGAGTTCTGGTGAAAAGGTTTGTACCCCTAGCAGTGCAGTGACACCAGGCTTTGCCTTGTTTTCCTGTTCAAGTGAATGTGCATGTTAGTGTTTTTATATAAAAAGAAGGGTCGTTATCTCTTTGGAATCTATTTCTATGATACCTGATATCATACAATTTTCGTGGTATTTTCTGAATCATTTTTTTCTAAACAGTATCAGTGGTGTGAAAAGTTGACAAATGTCTAGGGTTAGGGCAGAAGGTGCACTTCTGTATTCAGGCACAGTAGTCGTAGCTCAGCATTTGTGATTTATGTACAACACAGTGAATTTGTGAGTGGCAGAGAACATTTTTCAGCCCAAACATGTCAATAGAAGAGAACTATCATTTCTCATAGAATTTCTTTCACCAATTGACTGACAGTTATTCACTGATGTAACAAAAAAAAACCCTGCAGTTTATTTTCCTGGTCTGTGTAAGTAGTTTTGGCACTTAAGAGTTCAGAAAGTGAAATATACTTGAGCAGTATCCTGGCCTTCCTAACAGACACAAATGAAGACACATTTCGTAAGTGGGAAGTTGTGAGATGAAAAATAAATTTGTTGATGCACTGAACAGAGAAACATCACAGATCAAAATGTTCCCTAATTTCTGACATGAAACTAGAACTGTTTGTGATGGCACTCAATTTAGGTCAACTGGGAATATTGATGTCTTGATGTGCTCTGTGTAATTCAAGTTCATGCATATGCTACAAGTTCTTACACTGCGGTAGGGGACATTGCATTTGCACTTGACAAGTTTTGTCCACACAAAAGCAAACTAACAAAATATAGACTCATTAAGTTTTATGCTGTTTTATGCTATTTAAATACATTTATCATGCTACTCTGTGATATACAATATTCAGAAGAAAAAAGTCCTGGCTATAAGGCCCTGCAGAAATACATTAGAATTATTAGTGTTGCTGGAAGTAACAAATTAATTATCAGAAGGCAACTGGTAGAATTAGTTGTGTTGTTTCCAACCTAGGAAATGAAAATATACACAGAACATTGCTCAAAGACTGATCTGTTGAAAGTAGAGAATCGGATTATCACTTGGGTGATCTTAAATTTTAATTAGTCTGAGTATGTGCTCTTTGATCCTGAACAAAAATCCTGAGATGTGTAACTGCAACTCTACCTCTCCCTGATTCATTTCCTTCCCAAATTACATTAGCAGCCTGACAGGTGCTGTTTGTTCCTATAGACCCTTTACTCCCAAAAGGGAAGAACATGTATCAGAATGCTGCCATGATGACCTGATCCTCAAAATTATTCAGACTGCAGTGATTATTTAGTGTTAGAAGATTCTTTACAAAGGTTGCCAGTATCAAGTATTTCAGAGGCAGAGAAAATTAGAGTCTAAGTAAAATTTTCCTGAAGCTTTTCCAAAATATTCTACTTCATTCATTCTCAGTAAATTAACTGAGGATCAGACAATAACAAGCTTGCATCACTGAAGGTGATACTTCATCGCTTCTTTTTTTCCACTCCATTATTCTTCAACAATATACATTGGCTGATCTGAGCAATGAAATTCAATTTGAAGGATGCAGGAAGTTAATAGATTATGAAAATCAGTTGTTTAATAGTTTCCTTAGTTATCAAGAAATGAGGGAAGAGGAGAAGAAAAATCTGTTCATGGGGAAAAAAAGTCCCGAGTTTGATATAATTGCATCAGTTCTTGTGGAAAACATGATTTGTTTCATTTTCTTCTTTCTTTTTTTTCTAGTCCACTGCACTCTAAAGTGCCCTCTTACAAAGACAAATATCAGGTCTGGCTGCAACCATTTAGATTGTTTGGTCCATGGTGAAATTTGCAAATTAACAAACTGTAGCCAGAAGGCAAATAGTCTGAATCAGTTTCCAAAACATCGCTTTGGAAAACATCTCAGAGATCCATGTCAGAGATTGCTTAATGCCTTTGGTTCTTAAAGAAAATGGAATTACGGTAATTAGATTGTAAAAAAGAACTTGTCACTTCTCCTAACTGAAGCTAGAAATAAAGATGAGCTACACCTAGATTAAAGCCAGTCTAAGCATTATCCCGATTCTTCATACTGCTTTGCCTGTCCTTATTCAGTAATCCTGCAAACGTTGTTCATGCTTCTACACTTTGTATTGCAGTTAACAAAGGAAAACAGGTACTTCTTGGAACATTGTTCCATGAAAATATTTTTGCTCTTTCTTTTCCTTTCTTACCTCCTATTAGCATTGCAGAGAGGAGAACAGCAGTATTTATGAAACAGAATGTGAACATTTTATGAAGATACATATTATGGACGACTTTTCATTATTAACATAAAGTTGTTATTCTTGATATGATCTGAGCTGTGTAAGAATCCTGGTGCTGTACATCAGTATAGCATATAAACTCATAAAATGTTTATGTTACTTCCTATAAATCAGACTCTCATCCATTGCAAAGTCAAGAAATGGCATTTCCACGGTGCAATAAAGTAGTTCATTGTTATATTTTCTTGCTTTCTGTGTGCACTTATAAAATAGTTGATTTTGCTGGTGATCTGTGAAATCCTATAAACATAAAATGGTTATAGTTAGCACCAAATAAATTAAATAGGAAAACAAATCCTATTTGGTGTGTATCTGATCCTTTAAAAACCTGCAGTATTATAGAAACCCTGATTTAAAATACTAGCACAGGCTGATTGTGCACTGTCCCGTATTAGATTTTATCCTGATGTCAATTTAAACTAATGAATAGTTCAGGAGAACTAAAATGTGTGAGCTGTATTTCATACATATGTACGTACCAAAAGCTCAGTCCATTTTTATATAGGAATTGCTTTGATTGTCATCTACTGTATTTGCTGTATGATACATGTATTTATTCAACTTGAGATCTTTATGCATTGCCACAGTTTGGTTGCCAGATTTTAGACCTTTAGAAATGTATTTCCTACAAACACCTATTTGGGTGTGCGCAATTTCCTCACAGGAGAACATTCCCTTCCATCTACCTTTTATTGTTTCCTTTTTCTTTGAACTTCTTTCCTTTCTCGTTTTCATATACAGAAATGTTTGGTTTTTTTAGATATCCTAAGGTATTCATGGATTAATCGTGTATTTATTGCTGTAGGTGAAGTCAGACTATGACCATCTTAGAGAAACCCTTATCAGAGTAACCAAAGAACGAGATTTGGCTGTAAAGGGAAAACACCAGCTCCAAGCCAAGCTGGAGAACTTAGAGCAGGTCCTAAAGGTATGTATAACACTGTGAAGTCCAGCGGTGCAGTACTTCTGTAGCTTGTTTAATAATCCTCATATTAATTAATTATAAATTAATGGTGTCTATGGTGTTAATTATAAATTAGTGATGTCTAGCCAGACTTGCTTTCTAAGATGCAGTTGTTGGCGTATCATCAATCTGCTGCTTGCTTTTCGATTTAGAACAATTCAAAAATGTGTTTGTACTCACAAGTGCCTCAGTAGAGGTTTCAGTGTATAGTTGAAGATGCTGTCCTGCTTGTGAGCTGGCAGAGTAGCTTGGAGAGACTTGAAATCCTACAGCTCCTCCTTAAAGCTTGCCCAGACAGATGCAGTTAATTGTGTATTTCGTGTGTCCTCATATGTTCAGGAAATTTGTGGTTTAAGAAATGCTTTGTAGCTTTCCAACCAGTAAAAGGTTTTGAGAAATACTTAACCTAGTTTCTCTGCCAGAAGACAAGTATAGTTTACTTTCTATTATCTCAGGATATATCAACAAAGCTGAAAGGGAAAGATGAAAAATTGCTGGATTAGCTAACTCATGGGAATCTTCTGTGCTTCTGAAACAGAAAAGTTCTGATTTTCTGATGTATTCAGCCAGCTTTTCCCTTTCATGTCACTGAAATTGTGCCCACCCATCTGCACGCACAGATGACAAGTCCTTTGAGCAGAAAAGTACTTGGGTGAAAATTAAATTTGCTCCCCATTCAACATCACGTATGAGTTCTGTGTCGGAACAAAACTCTAGTACTTAAAAGCCACTTGAGCTTTTTCAACATTGTTTAGCTGCACATTTTGGAAGTGTAAAAATCTCTGCTGTAAGATGTAGTAAGTTACTCTGTTTTGGTTGCAGCTGTAGGTAGTACAGTGTAAGAAGAGAGTGGGCTGGAGCTAGTAGGGCTATTCATTGTCGCATCTCCCTGCTGCCCATAAGGATGCTGGAAAAACAAGTGGGATTGTTAAGAGCCATTTCAGAAATGTTTTGTACTACAGATGCCTAGCACAAGTTTTAGTGAAAACTGAGATGTCCACGATGTCATCAGTTAATTCTTTGTGGCATAGCAGGATTCCTACCTTTGATCTGAAAAACGCACTGAAAAGATTCCTTCTTCAGAATTTCTTTGAAGGACAGAGGATTATTTGCCAGTTGTTTTGAAATATGAAGACATTACTGTATTTTTCTGTGCTCCTCTAGATATGGATTTGCTTTCTGATGTTAGAATAACATAGTTATGACCCCTAGAAGGGTTGCAAAAACGGAAGTGCAAATTTATATGCTTAAAAAGTTCTAATTTTCAATTACAAGGGCAAATGGATTGCCACCACCTACACAAGCTGATGGCAATGTGATCATGCAAGCCACTCTTGGAGGAAGGAGAAAGAATTCAGCATCTCAGAACTTCCTCCTCGCAGATCTTCTAGGGGTCTTTGCAATCTTCCTCCACTCCCCTAACCTGTTCCCTTGGGCTTGGAACAGGAAATGACACCAGCTGATGTGTGGATAGGAAGAGTGAAATAGATTGCAGACAGAACCAATTTGTGAGCAGAGTGGGAGGAGAGGGAACATCTTCTGGTTTGGGGGAGATTTAGTTGCTGTGCCAAGGAAGGAACAGATGCTGGAGTGAAGAGATCCTTGCTGCTTTGTGTATTAAGTAGATCACAGTAGTACTAAAGCACTGTGACTTCTGGGTTAGTGTAGTTGACCAACTGGCCTTAAAATCTGCCAACTATGGATACCACATTGTTATTTAAGGAAACAGAAATTAAAAGTGGTGGAGACTCACAGATCATGTATCACAATCTGTTTCTTTATTACATTTTGTAGATTTGCTGTATGGTCACTGCATTAATTATTTATCCATCTTTCCAAAGGTTTATAAATGTCCTCCAGTAGCTTTTTTAAGAATAGTAAGAACTTAAAAATATTGAAACGCGCTGTACCAAATCCTCTACTAAATCTTGAGTTGAGACTTTTTTTTATATTTAAAGCTTTTCTAGATTAGCAGTGGGAAAATGTCTTGATTGCCTCGTCATTTCTTGGATGTGAGTCACGTCATTGTCAAGTCGTACACGAGATTTAATGGAAGCTGCTGAGCTCAGTAAATGTAGCTTCATGCTAATTTAAATAATGAGTGGTGCTAGTCAGCAAAACAGGCTGTTTGTTTAGTTGAAAAGAGAATTGAACCATCAGTTTTGGTTATTATTAAATAAATAATAAGCATAGTTTAGAAATGTTTACAGCCTCACTATGCTGACCTTCTTTGTTATTTAGTTACATGTAGCAGAGAATTAGCAGCTCCTAAAAAGTCATCAATATGCTGGATGCAGTTTTCTCTTGTATGCAAGAAGAGATATTTTGGCCTGTTGGAAACAACTGCCACCATCTATTTCTAACTGCATATTCCTAATAGGCTCTGTGTAATAGCTCATGGTGTGCAGATAAGGCATTGTGTCTCAGAGCAGAGTGTTAGAATATGTAATTTAGAAAACACAAATCTATAATACCCATTTTGCCAGAAAAGATATCAGAATCTCCAGTGATCTTTCTTAGCTCTGATTTATTAAACAGGGTGTTTGAATGGTACAGTGCTGCTGGAGAATAATAACCTGTAATGAAAAAGATTTCTATCTAAAAGGGTATCTTGACATTGTTCAGCTTCCCAACAACTGTGCCTCATACTGCTTTGTAACTGTTCGTAAAACTATTTTTTAAATACCGTGAAGTCATTTTTTTCTAAATCTATTTTTGCTTTACTCTGTATGATTTGCCATAACTAATGAGCAGAGAATAGCAAAAGCAAGCTATTTTTGAGGGGTCATCATTTGGAACACAGAAACAAACTCTAGATAATGAGGTATTTAGGGAATTGTCAAGCTAATTTTTTTCCAAGCTTTACTTCAGTTTAGATGTCACGTATAAAAATGCAACTGATGGATAAAAAGACTTCTGTTCACTTAGACATCATAGAGGCCACACTGCTGGCAGTGACAGATCTCCTAAAAGAGATTGCTGTCAGAATACCTGAATTTAGCAGTGACAATATTCGTCTTGTTATCGACCAATTTAAGATTCTGTTCAAATTCCCTTTTGTCTAAAAGTGATACCAGAATGTTTTTGTGTTGACCGTCTGCAGTCCTGGGACTGGCAGTATGTTTGTCTAAGATATGTTGAATCCCCTGATAGTTTTGTCTTCCACTCTTTGAAACAGCATATGCGAGAGGCTGCTGAACGGCGGCAACAGCTGGAGTTGGAGCATGAGCAAGCCTTGGCTGTCCTCAACGCCAAACAGCAGGAAATTGAACTCCTGCAGAAGGTGAGCAAAGGAAATGAAAGTAAGATACAACGGCGAACTACAGTGATAAAGCACACGTCACAGCAATCACTAGGGTTAAAGAAATTAAATCCACAGCTACATAACTAGTTCCTATTTTCACCCCAAAATCCCAGCCTGTCTTCCTTGCCTTTACATCAAGCTTGGGAATATTTTTGTATTCCTTAGAATAGAATCCAGCCTTAATTTTGTGGTAATTGAAATGCAGAGAATCTACTGTTCCCTTCTCAGTTTGATTAACTGGAACAGTTAATCGTTCTCATTGACATTGAGTTAGGATTTCTTTGGCTTCCTCTTCTTGTCACTGGTGAGTCACACTACTTTTTCCCCTATATTAGATTAATGCAACTCCTTCTCAAGGTCCGTACACGTAGCAGTTGATCTTTTTCATGAACTAAATGGCTGTTTAAGTACTTCATTGTTATGCTTGTTCTTTAATTTGCAAGTAGACATATTTTATCACGGTGCGTCTTCTCAATATTCATTATAATACATAAAAGCATGGTATTGAGTTTCACTTTTGCCAAAGTCATTTGAAGTTGGTTTGGTGTCAGTACTAATGCTGATGTTTCCAATTGCTGGAGTAGATCAAAACACAGAAATAATAACACCAATGGTAATTTGAGTAAGTGTTGGCATGGACAGACTTTGTCAGCAGAGAAAAAAATGTACATAGCTACAGTTTTGCTTCCAACAGAATGTTTCGTTTGTCCAAAATCTTCCAGTTAATTTTCTTTCTATTTTGTCTATTAACCATATTTCAAAACGTCAGTTTTAGCTGCGTGTAACTGCCATTATTTGAACCTCCACATAGATTTTGAACTTAAACCTTTTATGCTGGTGATGATGGTATTTTGGGATTTTGTTCATTTCCTTTTTTTTTTCTTTGGTGGATTTGTGTGTGTGTGCACATGCATGTGTTGTTTCTTGCCTTTCCATGCTCAAATTCTTTTCCACTGTGTCACTGTCATGATGGGATGAATCACAGAATTTTAGACTTTAAAAAAATGTGCATTACTAGCAGAGCCTGATGCATTTGCAGTCACATTTTGATATTATAAATAATAATTCATTCTCTTCTTTATATGTGTACAAACTCTTCAGATTATCAGCCTAAAAGGAAGAACGTAATAGAATCATAGAATCATAGAATCATAGAATCACCAAGGTTGGAAAAGACCTAAAAGATCATCCAGTCCAACCGTTCACCTATTCCCAATAGCTCCTACTAAACCATGTCCCTCAACAGAACATCCAGTCTTTCCTTGAACACCCCCAGGGTCGGTGATTCCACCACCTCCCTGGGCATCCATTCCAGTGCCTGACCACCCTTTCTGAGAAGTAATACTTCCTCATGTCCAGCCTGAATCTCCCCTGCTGTAGCTTGAAGCCATTCCCTCTGGTCCTATCACTAATGACACGAGAGAAGAGGCCGACTCCCAGCTCACTACAACCTCCCTTCAGGAAGTTATAGAGAGCAATGAGGTCTCTCCTGAGCCTCCTCTTCTCCAGGCTGAACATTCCCAGCTCCTTCAGCCTCTCCTCATATGGCCTGTGTTCCAGACCCCTCACCAGCTTTGTTGCCTTCCTTTGAACACGTTCCAGGGCCTCAATATCTTTCTTGCAGTGAGGGGCCATTGTAATATTGTAATATTGTTGATCCAAGTTTTGTGTTCAAGGGAAATCAGGTGGTCTTCTCCAAGAAACCTTAATATAGGGTGGTTGGATGAAAAAGAGAGATAGCTATTGACACAGCTTTCCTAATCATTTATCAAGAACTCATATTCTGGGTGGATTTTATTAAACTTGTAATGATGGATAGCACCAGGCTTTCTATTATCTGCTATGTTCACTAATGCTCTTTGAGCCATTATTTTATCAGGTGCTAGCAATAAGGTGCATCTGTAGTGCAGGAAGAAGCAGGATTGTGTGTCCAGAACCAAAACAGGTTTTATTACCATGCATGACAGTGAAGCATAGCTTGAGTATGTGGTTTTTGCTGTGACTTTATGGCCTGACCAGCTTCTCTTCAAGCCAGCAAGCAAACATGATGGCCCTTGTGCATGAGGATAAGTTGTTACAGTTGTGTCAGTGTCCTTCGTTGCTCCAGATTAATCTAGAAAGTTTGTGAGGCATTGCCATGAATGAAGACATTTCTCTGATAAGAAATATTCTGAATGTGATCTTTGATACATAGGAGTGAGAAGTTAACAGGCAAAGTGTGTGCAGTGCACTGCCGTCACCCTGATACAAAGGTTAATAAATAATTTTGCTCATCTTGGTCAAGCTTCAATAAAGAAGACAGTGAAAATTTAAACGGAAGTAAAGCAAGTGCAAAAAGAGATACTGAGTGCTGCTTTTTTGTGTTTTTAAGGCTTAGACTTTTCATAAACAAAATTGGATTACTTCTGAGCTATTTAAAACAACCCCTCCATGCTATCATCGACTCCCTCTTTTTTCCTTTGGGCCAGCTGATTGAAGTCTACATGTTGTACTTCCATTTACAGACAACCTTTCTTATGGTTGTCTTTAAGCGTTTTGTAAGATTCATGCTTCATGTAAAGAATAAGTTTAATTTTTATGTCACCTTTTTTAGCTGTGTGTTGAGCATGCTTGTCTTGGGCCAAATAAATACTGATGCTATTAACTTTCACTGAGATTCTGTCTCTGAAAATAAGGCAGATATTTTGATGGCTTAGAACTAGAGTGCTGGAGTGGATTGCCCAAGCCAGCCCTCCAAGACTGTAGATAGCTTTGGATTTGAGTATATGGTATGCTACTCTTTGTGGTTAGAATATACTGTATATGACATGACTAATTAGTTTTTCTTTTCATTTTTCTTTTGTTGTTTTTTTTTTTCAATTTATATAAATAAGGCTCAGGTTGAAGCTAAGAAGGAACATGAAGGAGCAGTTCAGTTGCTAGAGGTAAGAAGATACCTTTTGTATTACTTGTGGTTATGGAGGTTTCATTCTGAAGGCAATAACTGTATCATCACTTCTGAAAGATTTGATTCTTTAATCCTGCCTCTAATGCTATTGCTGTGTGCCACCCACTGTGGCCTTTCTTAACATTTCCCAACTGAGTGGGAATGAGTGCTGGAATGTGTTTTTGGAATTTGCCAGTGACTAAAGCACTTATTAAGCAAACAGTGCTAAATAAATAAAGTTTTCAGAGATTATTTAGGTGGTATTCCTTGTATTACCTTCCCAGGCAGCTGTTTAGAAATGCATGATGTTCCACAGTGCTGTATAAGATACATACATACAGCAGAAATCAAAAGGTCCCTACAGCAAACAGTTCCTTCCTAGGTTTTTCAAGGCTAGACTCCACAGATTCTTTAAGTTCCAATTATATCGTTTGACTCACTTGGACAAGTTAAAGTGTCAGGAAATATAGATACAGAAGTAAATAACATGTTTTACATCCAGATTACCTTTTATTTCTTTTTTTCTTCACTTTTTCACACATAATAGGTTTTTTTTATGATAACTAGCAAAGTAGGTTTTTTTGCATGAGGAAAGGAAGAAGCATTAAATACATACTAATACTTAACATAAATTACTAATCTAAAGAACATACAATGCCACAGATCAAGTATAGCAAATGCATTTGTCAATTTTCAATTAAAAATCTGCTTTTAGTGGTTTTTTTGTTCTCATGGTAGTTTTTCTGTCTGTGTACCTATTGGTCATGTGCTAAATAAAGGTGACCTTTCTGATACATCAATAATCTCTTAAAAAATGTTTAGTTACTTAAAGTAATATGTCCAGATGAAGGCTTTTGCTCATATGCTTTCATTATTATCATATATATTAAGTTTGTGCCTTTAAGAATATAAGATAATAATTTAATGTCTGGTGGAAAGTATATGATGCAGGAAAATATGTAGAAACAAAGGAAGCAAGTGATTATTTACCTCCCTCAAGCTAAACAAAATTCCTATTTAGCTGGTTTGTTTGCAAACTGATTTGCGTAACCCCATCAAGGTTTCTTAAGCTTTTGCTTTTTGTTGCCTTAGACCCATTGATTTTATTTGTTTATCTGCCTTCTGCAATTCAAGATCAGCAGTGATATTGATTTCTGAAACCTTCTAGAGTGTGATTTGCGTTAATGCATGTTTGGTTTTTATACCTGTGAACTGTTTCAATGTATTTTACTTTGAAATGCCAAAACAAAAGTGTTCAGAACTGTCTTTATTTCTTTATTTCATATATCTTTGTTTACTGTGTCTTGTTTGGAATTTATTGCTTTGCCCTTCATCCAGAACACCCTGGACAGCATGCAGGTATTTTAGGGCATCTATTCTGCATTCCCTGTGCTGAATCCTGCACCTTTCCCCTTACAATGAATACACTAGTCCTGTCTAACCTTGCATGGGATGTGTGCTAAAACCATTGTTATGCAAGCATGCTTGGCATTGATTAGCCTGATAACAAATCATCAAAATCAGATCCTTTTTCTTCAAATATGATATGTTTCAATGAGGAATAAGGTACTGTTTCTGAAAGTAAACTTCTGACAAGCATGCCCACTAAGAATGGTTTGATAGTTTATTCAAGACTGTAGCTTTCAGACTGTGGATTTTGTTTGAATTCAGATTGTTTTGTGATTTGTACAAAGGTTGTTTTATGTTTTCACCTTGGGTTGATTTATTAAGTCCCTTACTGAAAGCCACTGCTTCTACATAAACAGCTAAGCTATGAAATGAATTACCTGAATCCAAACTGTCCACTAGAAAGCTGGTCATCATCTTATCTGTCTTGTGCAAACAATATCTGTCTTGTAATAGATGAAGTCTGCTTTGTTTTGTATTAAGCTCACTGTATTTTATGAGAAACTTCCCAAGTCCTGAGCGAAGTACTTTCAGTATGGTCCGCAGTCAGGTGTGTCTTTTCATACAGAGACTGCTATAGGTGTGTTCAGTTTTAGCTGGATCAGGTACACTTTGTGTATTGAGATAGACTTTACAGGCAGTGCCATGATAAAGAACACAAATTCAGCTGTTCTGAGAGTGGGAGCACATGCTTAGTTCTGCACTGACATATAAGCACGTGGGCTTTCAATAGGAGAGTGTGTCAGGCTAATGAGCAATGAGTCAAGCACCTCACTGAAGTCAAGAAACAAAGGTGGGTACAGGACGTCTCCTGTTAGTACTGCTGTGGATCTTATGACAGTTTTACTTTATACAGTAACAGCTTTGTGCTCGCTTCTAAGTCTCGACTTTGATTAAAAAGAAAAGCCAAAGAAGGCAAACACTGAGATGCAAATACTCTCTAAAATAATAAATAACACAATTTTTTTTTTTTTTTTTTCAAAAATATGCTTTTATGACAGCCTTAGCATCTTGTTTGGGTCTGGATTGTGATGTTTTTATTTTTTATATTATGCTTGAGTTTCCATAACTGTGTGTAGAAGGGGCAGTATATATATTAAAGAACTGAGTAGCTTGTTCTGAAACTTCCCATTGGAAAGGGGAGGATCTAAAAACCCGAAGCATTTTACTGCATTGTCCATCTGATGTTCTTTTAAAACTGCATGTAGATGTCTTATTCATGCAGTGAAGTGACAAGTAGCAAAGGCTCACATTTCAGTTGCTGAAAACCACAGTGAAAATATAAAATCAAAGAAAGCACTTAATATTTGTGTAAAACTCCCACAGTGTTTCTCTACAGTATTATTATGTTTCATAATCAGTCAGACAGATACACTGAGACTTTTTTAACAGAATTAAATTAATCTGTATTTTTATCAGTTCAAAGAAATGGCATCCTCACAATTCATTGTAGCTGTAAAAATCTATTTATTACAAAAAAGGAACAAGCCAAAGCACAATCTTCAGTGAGAAATTTGGGCTTTTGTGTTCTTTCAGGGACTACAGGGAACATTTTGTTTATCTTTGGTTGTTTCAAGACCCTTGTATTGGTGTTATGTAATATAGGTAGTTTTATTTTATTCCTATGTAGAATGTGCTTTTTTTTTTTTCATATGAGCTGAGAAAATCTTCCACTTTCAAGAATAAGAAACTTTTAGTGCAGTTGAATGGATCTTATCAATATCCAGCCTTCCTTAGCACAGCTGCTTAACTAGGCATATGCAGTAAAGGGGATTTTAATGAAGGAATGTGATATTTGTTCATCATGAAGCACAAGATTAGGATATAACACATCAGCTTTCCACAGAAGGAGCCTATTACTGCCTCTGTTGAACTGTGTCTGCTTGCAGTGTTTGGATCATTGCACATGAGACACGAGTGCTCCCTGTGTCTCAAACATCAGTCTTTTGTCTGGCATATTTCCAGAATACAGGCCAAATGTTTTCCCCTAAAAGAAAATGAGACCTCACAAATGACATTCGCAAGAATTTTGCTCGTTCTTCGGTTTTCTCAACAGGTATTCATTAATATACTCTTTCTTATCTCTCTGAACAATCTCACAGAGAGTTTTAGCTCTTCAGGAATGCTTGATAGTGTATGCAAGCAAGCTGCTTATAGGCACAGATTGGAATTTAAATGCACTGTATTAAAAACTTCAACATATTCTTAATTCAATTGATGCAGTAATTATGCAGCTTTGGGTGAAATAAAAGGTAGCTTTGTGTTTTAATCTCTTTGCCAATCTTACATTTTCTTAGAATTAAAGTTGAAGAGGAAATCCTGAGTTCCCATGCTCTTTATTGTTCCTCTCAGCCAAGGAATCATTCTTTTCACTTATCCCCTCCATTTTTTCCATGTCAAGATTTCTTAGACTGTATGTAGGCAAATTTCACAAGTCAGCGCAGAAACTTATCCTTGATTATGCTTTGTTACTTCCTGATGCCTCAAAATTAAACAGAAGTGTTTGCCCACAATGATATTTTTGTACTTCTCACGAGCTTGCAAACAATCTCCTCTTGATTGGTGTCTGGATTACTTCTGTGTGGTTTGGCACGTACCATAAGGAACGTTATTTTTGAAAGGGAATTCAGCCAGTAGCTAATCCTACATTCTGCATGAAACACTGTTTTTTGCTGTTCTTGTTGGTTTTTAACATATAAATGTTTATTTAGTAATATAGGATGACTCAACTTATTAGTGAGGATGGGCAAACCTCAGAGAAATACCAAAGATTTTAAAAGTATTGGAAAAGAAAACAAAAGTCACAAAGCTATAGGTTCAGTCTGAAGGTGTTGTTGGCAATGATGTTCTTGGCACTGCCAAAAAAATACAATGAGGAATTTCCACTTTGGAAACTGGGAGTTAAGTATTTATCCCAATATTGCAGAGCTACTAAAAGGTTTTCTTCAAAATGTGAGAACTTAGGGGGATAAAAGAAAATGGAGACAAAAAAAAAAAAAAGCCAAACAAACAGTGAGTGCGTTTATCTCAAGTAGTTTGCCTATCCTGGATTCCTGGTACTTAACAAAAATTGGCCCCTATTACAGCTTGCTCTGATCTCAGTTAAATTTTGTCTTGCTTGTGCAGGCCAAGGTGCGAGAGCTAGAGGAAAAATGCCGGACACAAAGTGAACAATTCAACCTCTTGTCCAGGGAGCTAGAGAAGTTCCGGCAGCAAGCAGGGAAGATTGACCTCCTCAGCAGCAACTCATTGACATCCTCAGATATCTCTGGTTCTCCCAGTAAATCTTTATCTCAGTTAATGAATGGAATAGCCACTTCTTTAGGCAAAGGTAAGGACAAAGATTTTATTTGCAGGCCTGTTCTGCCCTGTAGGCTTTAAGATGCCATTCAATTATGTAAATAGAGTTTGATTATACAAATGGAAGATAGAATTTGGACCTAATCTTGTTTTGTGACTTGATTCAATTTCAAAGTATTTCTTATACCTTTACTGAGATTGTTCTAGTTTTATTCAAGTACTGCTTGGAGCAAAATTATCTCTAATCATTCTTAGGAGTCATGGTGAAAAACCTGTTCAGTGTTAAAATGATATATTTCTTAAGAAAGTATTTACATACATATATACACACAGCATATAAATTGTTTGTTGGAAAACCTTTCCGGATTCAGGGCGAGGGTTGGTCTGCTTTGTTGTTTAGTTATTCATGGAGAAAGAAAGAATAGAGACACCTGTGCTGTGTTAGCCATTGCATAAAAAGAAATTTGTGGGTAGGGGTGGGCAGTAAATGGGAAAACTGAATGGAACATTTTGAAAGGCATGAAAATGTTTTTGGTTTAGTTGTTTGGTTTAGTTATCTGTAGTTACTTAATTAAACCATACAGATGCGTTTAAATTTTTTACCATGCTTTAATTGGCCGAACACTCAGCTGCTAGGTATCTCAGAAATCAAGAAGTTGCACAAAAATATTGTTGGTGTGAATTTTAGAAGAGTTGGAGAATGTAAAATTAGAAAAATAAATCTGTATTGGCGTTCTTATGCATGTATTGTGATGAATGCTCAGTGGAGTGTGTTTTGCCCAGATCTGTTTTGAATTCTTGCTAAGCCATCACTGCCTGTTGCCAGAGGCAACGACTCCTCCTAACTACACATCTTTGTTAACTATTCATTATTCATAAGAATCTTCAAGGCAAGAAGTCACCTGAGGACACCTGAAGGGAACTGGCATATAAATTGTGTTGGACTCTGTGCAACAACCTAATGTTGTTGTTGAGGCTGAGAAATCTACTCACAAACAATTGAAATTTAATATCATCCATGATAGATGATTTTTTTACTACTATTTATACAAAGGAACGCTCTCCTATTGCCAGGTAATTCCCATAGCTTACAGATTCCCCCAAAACTGTTTTAGAACAGATACAGAGGACCTGGACAGACAAAATAGCCTTTTCTTATTAGTATTATTTTTTCTTCCTAAGCTTCTAGGAAAATTCTGAGGCTTAGGGCCTAGAAATCACAAATCATTTCCCTACCACTGTAGATGAGTGCTTATTTTTGGTGAAGGGTGCTGCTCTCAGTGTGAAACCAACTCAAAAGGAGCCAGGGTGACATCCTTCTTTCATTTCGCTTCAATAACTTAGTACTTTGTGTGGCTTAGCTTTTGAAATACAAAATGTTAGCTGTTAGTGGACTGACTGCTGTGGTACATATGACTCTGTAGGCTTTTCTGGAGCCACAAATCATAGCCACGTGGATATTGAAGTGCGTTAAACAGGGAATTTAAAAGAGCATCTGATGACTGTAAGAATTTAGTAGAAATTTCCTTGATAACAAGAGGATTAGCTGTTGATGTCTACAGAGATAAGATTTTCAAACTGATAAATATTTTGAAGTTAAGGTAATCAAGTATGGAAATGTCCATTTAACAACTCTTGAAAGTCTGGTCTGTATCTCTGGAGTTCATGTAAATGGCCCTAGACTTCACATAAAAATCAACAGAAGTTTATGGGGTCCTGAGTCAGCCTTTCCATGCTACTTAGTATTTATTCTCAAGTACTAATAGAAATAGAAGACAAACAAAACAAAAATCCAGCAAAAAGTGCTTGACTGGAAACACAAAAAATACAAGATCTGTTCTAAAGACATTTTAGAGCCTTAATCTGTGCATTTTAACCTACTGATTTTTATTCTTCTTAGAGTTCAGGGCTTGCAGCACTGGAGTATAAATGTCAGAAATCCTTGATGATATTTGCTCTCAGTATAAGCGCAGTGGTAACAATAAAATGGTGCTTAAAGAAATGGGCAGGGTGTCTGATTCTCAAAATCAACTGTTCTGAAATAATGATGGTAGTGCTGCAGCAAGTTCTTCAAACAAGAAGAATAATTGTTTGTATTGTGTGTGAGGAAGAAAAGAACACGTGGGGAAACGCAAGGACAGCTTTCAAAGTAAAGCAAATGATGGAAATGAGATCAGTCTATGACCAGCTGCTTTGCCTTAATTGGTGATGTTTTTAATGTATCAGGAAATGGAATAACCTAGCCAGAATAGATTAGAACATTAAAGATTCACTCTAAACATATATTATTGTCACAATCCAATAGAAAAACCTTCAAGATTTATTATTCATCAGATAAAAGGTGCATTTAAATGGCCTTTCTAGATCATTTATGTAGCCCATAATGAACCAGTGGTCCCATAAATAAAATGGCATGTCTAATTGTACTGCATGTATGGTCAGCTTCAGTTCTCTCTGAGTAATTTAAATTAAGTCTGGAGCTCTTCCTTGCCTCTTTTCTTGAAAGGATGTTCAGATTTCCTTGACAGATATCTGCCAGTCATGACAAAATAACAGCTATTTGATGGTCTGTGGATTTTACAAGATCTTACACACAAGAAATGTGGCTTTTTTTTTTTTTTTTTTTTTTACATTATTTGATATTTCAAGGAAGAAGATACATTTCCAGAAACTACTCTGTTTTCTTAAGAACTGATTCCTTGCATTTTTCCTTTCTAACTGTTACTTTTGTTCTTAATGCAAAAACAAAGGGGAAGATTTTTTATTATTTTTTTAATAATGATTTCTAAAATACAGAAAAAAAATAACCCCTTGTTGTTATTTACCAGTGTTTCTTTTGAAAGCAATCATTTATTCAGTTTTGTTCATGCCAGGTCATGAAAGTCCTTCTGGAAGTCGTTGTGTAATTTCGGAGTTTATTCGTCCCCTTCAAATATCTGGAGACAAACCAGAACAGTTGTCAGTCAAACCTACATTCCTGTCAAAGTCAAGATCTGGTACCCCAAGATGCAGATTTGATTCAGACGTGAGTCTTCTTAAATTTCTTGCTGGAAATACATGGTATGGGGCCAGGATCTCTCTTCTTCAGAGACTGATGCAGGATCATCCACCCACTTTTAAAAAGAAAAGACATGAAAATTCGTATTTTTCTGGGACAAATTGTGATTGTGAGCAGTGGGAATTTCACGAGACTTTCAGAGTCTTAGAACTCTATGGATGTATCTAAGGCTTATTCACAGTTAAATACAGATGTGTCCCTACCAAGATGAAATGTGGGAGAATTAACTGCTTTTGAATAGGCTGCAAAAAAAAAAAAAAAAAAAAAAAAAAAAAGCAGTCCATATTAGTCAAATCAGAAAAGGTAGATTAACAATGAGATTTAGGGAAGCAGAACTAACAGCAAGAAACAGAAAACGTGCATGTCAGATTTAATTCCATCTTTCTATTATTTTTGAGTTATCTCACTGAAAATGTCAAGACCACTTTTGCAGTGTTGCTCATTGTGTGCCTTCTTGAGTGTAATTATGTGATGCATACTTATATTATGCAAGCAAACAGAAATTAAGTCCCATTTTTTTAATAGGTATCAGGCATGGGAGGAAGTGTATGGATAAAATCATTAGGAAATAGTCTTTTAAGAAAATAAAATCTAACAGTGGGACACTGCTCTAAAGTCTTACATAATACTATAAAAAAAAAAAAGATATTTTGTGAAATTCTCTCTGCAACTTCTCTGTTCTTAGTAGCAATCTTCTGGAATAAGCATTGGGTAAGTTATGAGCTTTCAGACATCAGGACAGTAACCCTTCAAAAGCTGCCCTGCATCTCCAAAGCGACATGGGGGAGAACACTTGATAGCTGTTGTTGTCCACTGAAAGTGGTGTGTTGGCAGGATGGTGTGTACTGTGCTTTCTTAGCAAGCTAAGCTAAGAGTTCTTAGCAAGCTTAAGAGTTAATTCAGAAGAAAGGTGACTTGCTTCAGTGTTTTTCTGGGGCACCTTTGGTCCATACTGGCAACCAAGCAGGGACACGTTTAGGCCAGAAAGTTGTATTTCAATATTCACTCTGTCCAGACTGTAAAATGCTCATCCAGTTTTGGACGATTTACCTGTTTGACTCTAATGTTAATCCTAGTATCCCCACCTTAATGAAAGTCCTCCAGATCTTAGGGGAAAAGTTCATTTTTCCTGAATGAGTTCAAAGTAAAGCATGAAATAAGTAAAGTACATCCCTCAATATCTTTTTTACTTACTAAATGATAAACAACCAGTCTGTATTTGGGTCAGTTCTGCAAGCTTTTGAGGAAAATTAATGTCTAGACTCTGATCTTATCTGAATCGTTAGGATGTACCAAGAAATAGTTCAATTTCTTTACTGTGCTGGAATTTGAATTACAATTGCTTTATATTCTAAACCTTTCTAAGTAAAATTAACTGATTTTGATTCATATCAATGTTAATTTTCTCTTCTTAATTACATGTGCTTCGATTTTTTTTTTTCGTCTGTCAGGAGAATGATGCATGGAACTTTTAGAACTAAATCTTTGTTGTCTTTTTTTTTTTTTTTTTACAGATGGATAATGATCAGAATTCCAATACCTCGAAGCAGAGATATTCTGGGAAAGTCCATCTTTGTATTGCACGTTATAGGTAACAAACATCATTAGCTGGAGCCAGTTCTTGTTCCTGGTCAAAACCCAAGTGCGAGAACATTTTTAGCAGTGAAGTTTTGGCAGGTGGATCTACAATCAATGTCCCTGCTTTCTTTGAGCACTCTTTGAATAGTTAAGTAACAGGCTGCAGCTATTCACACTAGAAAAGGGAGAAGATAAGGACTGAAAGAGAACTCCCGAGTGATATCTCCTTAATTCACTTTTCAGAATGGAAATTTAGGCCAGGGTTATATATTTAAAAAAAAAAAAACTGAATTACCATCTAAGGTAGCCTTAGAACTGTACACCTCACCTTTTTCACGTTAGTATCCAGTTATGTGGGGGTCGTAAGTATATATGCATGTTTTTCATCTGTACTTCTTTGCAGCTACAACCCTTTTGATGGACCAAATGAAAATCCAGAAGCAGAGCTCCCTCTTACAGCAGGAAAGTACCTTTATGTGTATGGAGATATGGATGAAGATGGCTTTTATGAAGGTAGGTTTTTGAATCTGTGTATTCATGCTAATTGATGCAGATTTAAATCAGTTCACCTGTCAAACACACTCCCTGTGCTCTCCTTCATCTACTATCAAATCAGTTGCTAAAATTAGCCCTATCATCATTATGTTAATTAACAGAGTTTCTGTACCAACAAAGCCGCTCTTTGCAGGCAGAGCTAACTATAAGACATTTTGTATTGCCAGCTTTTCCTGCTTGCTAGATTTAAGGTGACAAGAAAGCTTACTGGCAGTTCTGGGTTTTTGCTACGCTAAATTTTTACTTTGTCAAACTCCAAATGCTGTTTGTGTACAGTTTTCACCTCTATCTTATCCACTTACCGCAGGACATTAACATGCAAGGTCTGTGCTCCTCAAGGACTTCAGTGATGTTTTTCTTTCTCACCAGGGGAGCTTCTAGATGGACAGAGAGGACTGGTCCCTTCGAATTTTGTGGATTTTGTTCAAGACAATGAGACCCGTTTATCGAGCACATTAAGCAGTGAACAAGATCAGAATTTCATCAACCATTCGGGTTCTACTTTGGAAGGAGATATCCTGGAGATAAGTCCACCAAGTCACATAGACTCTAGCGTAATCAGCAACGGTGCAGGGACTCTGGATGTGAACATTGATGAAATTGGAGAAGACATTGTGCCTTATCCTAGAAAAATCACCCTTATTAAACAACTAGCCAAAAGTGTCATTGTGGGCTGGGAGCCGCCAGTAGTGCCACCCGGATGGGGAACCATTAACAGCTATAATGTTCTGGTTGACAAAGAAGTACGGATGAACATAGCCTTGGGAAGCAGAACGAAAGCTCTTATAGAAAAGCTTAACATTTCTACTTGTACTTACCGAATCTCAATTCAGAGCATTACAAATAAGGGTAACTCAGATGAACTGCAGTGCACTTTGTTAGTTGGGAAGGACGTCGTTGTAGCCCCCTCTAATCTCAAAGTGGACAACATAACCCAGATTTCTGCTGAGCTGTCCTGGCTCCCTACAAATAGTAATTACAGTCATGTCATTTTTCTTAATGAAGAAGAGTTTGACATTGTCAAAGCTGCTAGCTACAAGTACCATTTTTTTAATTTGAAACCCAATATGGCCTACAAGGTGAAAGTCATGGCAAAGCCCCACCAGATGCCCTGGCAGCTTCCCCTAGAACAACGAGAAAAAAAAGAAGCCTTTGTGGAATTTTCTACGTTGCCAGCAGGTTTGGTATCTTTCTCCCTAACTCTCCAGTTATGTTTCTGTAAAAATTCCAGATAAAATAGCCTACCCTTTGCTTTATGCTGTAATCAATGTCACTTTCATGAACAGGCTGTGGACTATTTGATTGCTTAATGGTACCTATGACTCATTCCTCTCCTGTGTTACTCCCCTTCTTGTTCCTTGGTACATTTTGGGAAGGTAAGTTAGAGAAAGACATGCAGAACATCATCAAGTGCTAGAATATATTTATCAGAATAATCTCGACTTGTTTTTAGTTAGTTTAGTTACAGTAGTTCTGTTAGCAATTTATTTTTGTTTGTATGGACAGCTCTGGACAGAAACAATTATTATTCTAGCATGTTATTTGTGTATCCAGATGCACTTTTTATGGAGATGATCCATTTCTTCCCTGGAATAGAAAGCAGTATAGATAGCTTAGAGGATCACAGTGATTTAGGGGTGATACAGGTGAGTTTTGGTTGTGTGGTTGTAATCACAGGTACAATTTGAATTTGTGGAGGTAGTAAATCGGTTCTGTTTTGAAAAGTCAGGGCCTTTTTTTTCCCACCTTGCTTTTACATTAGAGATGTAGATAAATTATGAGTCTTCTCCCAGTGAACTGTGATGTAACATTGAAGACTAGAGCTGAAATAGTGTACTACATTGGAAGGGTAATGTCATGATTTTGGAATATATGGTAATACCTAAAAATGTGAACATCTCTTCTTATAGACTTGTCTAATCAAAGACAATTAGGACATTTACTTTATATTCATACTTCTAGAGCACTGAATGCCCCTGAAACAGAGGCAGTCAAGCACAAGTGACTCCTGGCAAATGAAATTCCAATGACATCTACAGTGCAGTGTGTTGTTTGACTCCCTGCTGGGATTCAATTCCAGCAAGGGAACTGGAATTATTTCTGGCCTCTTCCTTGGGTTGAGTGACTTACATGTAAGGACACATGCAGGACAGTTGGTTGAACTTAGAGAAGGAATTAAGCTTGTATGTCTTGTATTTGGGCATTTAGTGTTTTGTTTTCAGTCATTTCAGTGGGATAAGTGGTGATACTATTGCAGCATCTGCTAGGAGGAGAGCATTTTCAACTTTGTACCTGGGAGATGTTGCCCATACGGTGAATTAAATTTGTTTGACTTCTTTGTTATTTGGGAAATGCCTTTCGAGTGAGATTTTTTCAGGCCAAACTCTTAAGAGTCTTTAACTCCCTCTAGTTGCTGAAGCACGCTAAAGCAATAATGACATGTTCTCTGTTGAGATGCATTGCATTTTATTAAATCAATCTCTGTTACAGGCTACAAAGGTAGAAATAAACTCTCTGGAGGTTGTTTGTTTGAGAGAATGGAAGAAAGGTGTCGTCTCCTGCAAAAGCAGATGAATGTCACTGACAGAGACAAGATACTGGAACAGATCAGTTGCCTTCTTCCTGTAAACTGAAGAATTATGCTGAATTGCTAATACAGGCTGTCAGCAAAATAGGGAAGATGAAACTGGCTCCTAATTCAACATCTTATCTTGGGAAGAAAGTCGGTTAGGTTAGATTTACTGCTTTGGTCTTGCTAGTTAAAAATATACTAGGTGCAATGGATGTTATAGGGAAAAAAATCATGTTCTGCCTATGGTGTCATGAACATGACCAGAATTTTATTTCCAAAGATGAAAGGCAGTGATAACAAACCACTGAAATGCACTGATGGTTTGCCAGTGTATCTGGAGGATGAGGCTTGTTTGATATTTACACTTGTATGATGATCTGTTTGGCAGCAGTGAATGCACACAGAATATTTGTAACTTTCTCTCTCAGTAGATGAACAGAAATTAGAGGTGCTTTGTTCACTGGAAAAAGCAAACTCTCAGCTGCTAAGGTTTGTGTTCTCCCAGCTATTACCCAGGTGTGGCTACAGCTGAAACCTGCTTCGGAAATGTTTTATCATGAAGCACTTCCCAGTGTTTGATTGTTAAATAACAGAACAGGATGCCTGAAATATTCATGAACTAATAAACTACAATGTTTCACTTTGGTTCCTGTCCAAAGTAGAGCTATTTATAGTAGCTTGATAACGTCTTTTAATTAAGGATGTACTTGGTGTACTATTTCTCTAATGTATGCTAAATGCCTTCAAAGGTTAGTAGATATACATTTTTATTCAGTGCAGATAAAAGATGTTGAATCCAGTTGTCTTTAACCAACATGCTGCTGATTGAAAAGGTTCCAGTTCTGCCTTGCATCCAGTGCACCTTAGTGTCACTGTGCTTCTGACCTGTGGATCTTGACTTGGAGGCACTGATGGTCACTGATGGAAGCAGAATTCCAAAGTCATTTCTATGAATGCCACATGCATTCAGTGCAAAGATACCAAAAAGTCACTTGCTGTCACTTGCAGCCATTTTTCATTAACAGTGTCATTCTGGGTGCCTTTTCCCTCACATTTGTCTATTAACATTTCTGTTCAAAGTAAGTAGCAGTTATGCAGCCTGGTGGGATAAAAATTGGAGCAAAGTGCAACGCAATTGCAAACTATGTTGTAAATAGAGCTTAGCTAATGTCTGTAAGGCCCAGGATCAGTTCATGTTGAGTGTATGCTTCTGTTTTTACACTGTAACTCAACAACGATACTTTGTCTTCTTGAAAAAAATAAGTCCTTTGAGGTCTGTAGTTTCCAACTCTGAAACTCATCTACGGACTCCAGTCTAAGGCTCAGTGATGACCAGTCTTGCATGTCTTAGGTCCTCCAGCTCCACCTCAAGATGTTACTGTCCGGGCCGGGTCCACCCAAGCAACCATACAGGTGTCCTGGAAGCCACCAGCCCTGACAGCAACAGGGACCTCCCACGGTGCCAATGTCACAGGCTATGGTGTTTATGCAAAAGGTCAACGGGTGAGTTCCAGCATTACAGGTACCATCTGCGTTAGGTGAATTTCTGCTGGCAGGCAAAGGTGGCAATAAATGTGTGATGGCACTTCAATGTCTGCTATGCTTTCTTGCTTTTTATCAGTACTTGTTCTTTTGTTTGTGCTATTTGATCATTAGCACCCTTTCTGTACACATTTCAGCTTTTGGACAGAAGAGTTGGAAAGAATTAAGAAGACTGGTGCTAATTGTTGTGGTGCCCTAACTTTCACTCCATGTTAAAACGTTGAAGGCTCTTCATCAGTGTGGTTGAAGGGAGGGTAACATATCTTCGTGCTAGTATGTTGCTTATTTGTGTACACAGGTGGCAGAGGTGATCTTTCCAACAGCAGAGAACACGTTGGTGGAGCTAATGAGACTAAGAAGTCTTGAAGCAAAGGAAGTTACTGTTCGAACACTCTCTGCACAAGGGGAATCAGTGGACTCTTCTGTTGCTGCCATTCCATCTGACCTACTGGTGCCTCCATCCCCTCTCCCCAGAACTGCTCCCAAATCTAAGCCATTAGCAAGTGCCGGAGCCCCAGAAACCAAAGAAGAACATTTAGGTCCACATGTAAAAATAGATGAGTCATGGGAGCAGACTCGTTCAGCATCCCCTGTTCATGGGCACACACTTGAACCACCTGTCCCTAACTTTCACAGCTCGCTTCAGGGGAGAAGATCTCCATCGCCAAACCGAATACTCCCTCAACCTCAAGGCACACCTGTCCCAAACACTGTTGCAAAAGCCATGGCAAGAGAAGCTGCGCAGCGAGTTGCAGAGAGCAATAGGGTAAAGACCAACTTTTTTCTTGCAGCTTTTAGGGCTTGCTTTATTCATTGTAGGGCTTTCCATCAACTATACTTTTTTTTGTAGTATGAACCCTACTTAGCTTCTAATAAATTCCCAGACCTGAAGATCAGTGTTTTGAGAAGCTGTATATTAAAATTCTGTTGTATCTTCAGCAAATATGCCTTTAACCATACAGAGCATTGATCAACCTTTGACCAACAGTAGAAGCTTCATAGCTGTACTAGAAATGTTTCCAGAAAATAATTCTCAGAGGGGTTGGGGGAGAATGGGGAGGAAGCCTTTCCTAAAAGGTTAGTTAGGAAAACTAACATTGCTTTAAACCATGAGTATATTAAAGCATTGTGCTCGTGAGTTTTTATGCCTTATTTAGCCATTTCTCCATTGGTTGCAAGATGAAGTCATCTTTACAATTTTCCATTTTTTGTTGGTTTGATAGATGGAAAGGAGGAGTGTTTTTAGTGAAAGGAGCAATGCAGCACAGTACGCTAACTCAGATGATGAGGAAGATGGATATGATTCTCCTAATGTCAAAAGGAGGGGGGCTTCAGTTGATGATTTCTTGAAAGGATCAGAACTTGGAAAGCAAGTGAGTAACCTGTTTTTTTTATTGTGCCGGTTATTTAATATGAAATGAGTTATTTTGTGAAGCTCAGCATGATCTTCAGGGCAACTAATTATTGTAACCATACTGTATAATTGTGTGGCAACAGATTAATGTCCTGTTACTGCAGCATTAGACTTTCTGATGAGAACTGAGTGCTTGGTACCATGTATCTATAGACTTTTATACTACATAGCTGTTTAAGTACTGGAAATGCTTTTAAAAAAAAAAAAGTCACATTTGGGCTCTGGGATTTGGGATTTGTGTGTTATTATTGTGTATGAAAGAATGCTGTAATGTTTTGGGGGGAAAAAAACGGAAAGAGGGAAGGATTTTTTAAAGCTGTAACCTGTAATGCTAATTAGCAGAAAATCATATATACTTAGGGAAGGATGCTGTAAGGAATAGAAAGATGTAGCAAAAGAATTTTCCACATCTGTGCAGCTTTTAGTTTGATCCAACTCGAAAAAAACAGGAAGTGATTTTATAAGTTACTTTCAAGGGAGTTGTAAATCCTAGCTAGATGCTTTCTTGTGTCTTGGGATGGCTGAAGAATCTTGCTAGCCAGACATCTGACTTCACATTTTGAAGGCTCTGAGCAGTGCCTTTCTTTGTACCACTTCTAAAACCTTGTGGAGTTTTGGCTCAGCTCATCACAGAAGCTCAATCATTTATTTATGTACAAACATTGCTCCAAATCTCAGGTGTTCCAAATCTGGAGCTTGAGGATTTCATTTAGTGTCATCTTTACATGGAGTGGTTTCCATTTTTTTTTTTTTTTTTAAATATATCCAATCATGCTATGTTTACAAAATGTGCTCATGAGTGAGATGCATCTTTACATCTGTATACAATTAAAATGGTTCTAGATGCAAAGAGACCAAGATTTTTTATCAGGCCCAGTGATCTCACTAAGAAGACTCAGTGTAAACTGTGTATAGTGTTTGTACTGGGACTAAGATAAAATTAGGTTTTTTTATGTTAACAAATATATGTATGTTTGTACTTGACCAAGTTAAACAAACTTGGGTATATCTACTGTAAGCATACTAAGTTGCTGCAAGTAGACCTTAGATCATCCAAAGATTATTTGGAGTGTGTCTGCTTTAATGAGCTCTAAAAACCAATACAGACAGCTTGGATATGAACACTGAAAGTCAGGGAACCCTTAGATTTATGTTCTTTGAAGCCTAAAGAGGTTAAACTTTGCTATCTACTAGTTATGTCCTCGAGGCCAGATTTGAAATCTACCTGGCTTCAAGCCTTCTCAGATATAATTAGAATTTTGTGTGTGTGTGTGAGGCTGAAAGAATTCCTCATCGCTTTAAAACACTGAAAATGTGCTCTGAGGAACAGCAGCCAGATTATATCTTGTGAAACAGCTGCAGTGTGTTAAGTGCAAATTGATTATTAAACGTTTGCAGCTTAGTGAGATATACCTATTTGAAGTTTAATTGCTCATTTATGTTGTTTATGAAAGATCACTTTTACCGTGTGGTTTGTTAGTAAAGAAATAATTGGAAAAAAATGGAGAGACGTAATCTGTGGTGGTTTTCTCCATAAGAAATTATTAGTTTGATATTTTTATTGTAATGCGTTTGTGCTGCTGGTATCTTCAAGAATTGCTATTCTGTATTCCAATCTGTAATCAAATGTCTTAGGCTTTGTATCAGTTTACTTGCCTTAATTTATAGATGAGTGGAAAAAAAGACCTGCAGATAGATGCAAGTGATGTTAAGGTTTTTCTTCAAGTGTTTGAAGAGCATTAGATATGGCCACTCATGGAGATCCTTCATGTTTGGTGTTTTGTGTTTTGGAGGTGGAAATATAGATTTTAAACTCCTCAGTTTGAGCATGTCTCATGAGGAAGGGTAGCATGGATCAGAGATCTGAAACAGTTCAGTTATTGCATGTGAAGTTTGTGTGCCCTTTTCCATACAGATTATACAGATACAGATCTTAGGCAGAACTGCACAATTGTTCCTTATATAATATGTCCTAGTTACGTTTCATGATTTATTTAATCTAGTGCTTGTATTAAAAGATTTCTTTAAATAATTGGGTGGCTGTTTAGCAGGACTCTACTGTTGTTAGTACCACACTAGGTAAGCTGTGGAGGCAACTTGCTAGGTGTGATGGTCCAAGCAAGCATGGATTTATTTCAGCAGTACTGGCATTTGATAATCTGTGAGAGTTTTTTATTTTATGATTTATTTTGTGATCTCGAGATGTTTTACTGCAGACATTCAGCTTCATTTTAAAATGTATCCTTGGAAATACAATGAGTTTAGTTTATGATCTGGTTTGTTGTACATAGCACTCTGGCTAAGCAGGAATTAAACCAAGGCCACACCTGCTTAACAGTTTAGTAGCAATTTAGTGAGACATATATTTTCCTCTTTATCTTCCATCTAATTGGAACTTAAAATATTCAAACTAGTTATAAAAGGCCATTACAACTGTAGCCAGTCCATTCCTGCAATGTTTAACAGAATGAAAGCTTCAAATTCCATCAGCTAGCTATATTATACAATGATGGTAACATGCTGCAATAACTAAGTGCTGATCACTTTTAAATCATTATGTGATGTAACAAACAGCTGTGAAGAACAGATGATATGTGAATTATCCTAGGGCTTTTACAATTTGGTCAGCAAGTCTACTGATGCATGAAGGACCTCTTTAGAGGAATTTCATCAGGACTAAAGCTAGATTTGATGCTCTGTATGCATCTTTTTGGATCACCTATGGATTTGAGACTGGGTTTCTTGAATTAAATGGGAGCATAAATGGAAAAAAAAGGTTTTATTCATAAAACAAAAGAGCAACCTACATGATGTCATTTACATGCAGTATTACTGTGATGTTCAAACCAAGGAAGTACTTCTGGTCCTCATAGGTGGTGCACAAGGAATTTTAATTTCAGTCATTAAAGATTTTTCTTTCTCATTCTGCTGAATAGCCTCACTATTGCCACGGTGAAGACTACCATACAGAGAGCAGCAGAGGTTCTGATTTGTCTGATATTATGGAGGAAGATGAGGAAGAGCTGTACTCTGAAATGCAGCTGGAGGATGGAGGAAGACGGCGAGTCAGTTTGACTTCACACAATGCACTTAAGGTAAGTGTGACTGCAGGGAAACCTTAAGAGTACCTCCGTGGTTTTTTTCTTCCTTCAAAGCACTTTTTCAGTCAATTATGGATTTTGAAGATGATTAAAAATAAGTGCTGTGTAGACTTAGAATTTGTTTCTTCTCTTTTCTTTTTTTCCCCTCTCCATTGTTGGATATCTACTCTTGTAGCTAGTTCACTGTTTTTCTATATGAAATTGTGGAAGTTGCAGCTTTTGCTGTGTATCTGGGATCTTTTTCCTTGTTTATATGACAATATATTGCAAGTACTACTCAAATAACGAGTTGATTATATAAACATGCATACCTATAGGGGGAAAAAAAATCCACCTACAACAATTTAGGCTTTTCATATCAGATGTGTTTTTTCCTATTTTCAGTGCCATCTCTTTCTCTGACTTCAAAGCACACTTGTAAGAAGGAGATTTGGGGTAATGAAGGAATCACCAAACAGGAAATAAGTGTCAGAAATTCCGTTTTAACACTGTATAAGAATATTAATCATGAAATACAACAATTAGATATATGCAGAACACTGAGCTTACTGAATGCAGAGCGTGTATTTCCCATAGTATGTCTGCTCGTGTAAACTGTATTTGCTTTTTATGTGTATATCGATTACACTAAATTCTTCTCTTAGCAAGCTGGATAAATTGAATGATAAGGAAAACCACAGGTGGATTTTTCTTCTAGTATTTAGTTGTTTAACAAAAAAACAGTGCTATTTTCACACACATAAAAGAATTATGACCATCGAAACTGCTTTCATGTACTGTAAACTCAGCCCTTCTATTCTGACACTATCTGGAATGAGAGGGGTACTTTTTCAAAACAAAACTAATGGGTGTTTCAATTTTTCTACTATCATAAAGGTTGAATCTGAAATCCTTCTGCATGCTGCTTCTGACCCTTCCTCTAGAGAAAAAGTAAATTGTCCTCAGACTGTTCCTGTGATTCATGCTTCAGAAACGATACCTATTCCTTAGTTTTATGATAGTATCGCTAATTTTTGATATCCAACCAGGCCCTTAATTGGTGTGATAAGTCATTCTAGACATTTTGAATTCTGCTGGCATACCTTTGTGCATGTTGTGGTGTATGTGGAAGGTGTGGTGCTTAATCTGCAGAAGCAGAACTCAGTGTGAGTGCTTCCTGGGGCAGGGCTCACAGATGTCGGAGTCTCACATGGAGAATATTACCCACCGTATTGTTAGGGTTTTGGATACATGCTTCACGTCAGATTCTGATCCCAAAGTGCTCAGTAATTTCCCCTTCTTTCACAAGATCCAATTTTGCTTTTCAACAGCAGTAGTTAGTTAACGGCAACAAAAAAAAGCGTATTTACTAGGTTTTCCATAGTGTAAACAGGTTTGTGTTCCTCTTGCATCTGAAAGTATGCCAACCATGCACTTTCAGCTGTAATTATTTTCTCCTAAGGAAATAGATATTCTCAAGTAACAAGAAAATGTTTTGCATGCAGGTAAATACTTCCTTTATTGTGAGATTGCTATTTCCTCCAGTGGTTCCTTAAAACAAAGGCAGGTGTCAGTGATAAAGGGAAGACTGAGCTAACTTACCAGATCTGAGTATTCTAAAATGAGGAATACTTGAACTCAGATAAAACTTCCTGCTCGTATCTATTGACTTTTTCGTATTTCTATGGCAGTTTGTCATAAAAGTTTCATGGGACTGATGCACGTTTATAACTTAAGACAGATCAGACATACGTTGTCTCTCCTTGGAGTCCAGCAAAGATGCTACAGAGGTTTCTTCTGTCCCACCAACGTGTGTTTAGTGTAATTACAACACAAAAGTGTCAAAAGCATTATTGTGTTCAGAATGCTTATTTTATTCAAGATGGGATAGTTTGTACCCACTTCTGGTATAAACAGAGACTTTTACTTAGTTCTACTAATAGGCTGATTTTCAAATACTGGCTTTATCAAGCAGGTACAGGATTATGATGGGAGATTTGAGGACAGTGCCAGACCAAGGGGCATCAGAGAGCAGCCAGCTTCTCTGGCTTCTTTCTCTGGAAGCCAAGCTTTGAAAATGATGCTTTTTTTAATTTTTTTTTTTTTTTTTTTAATTTTCTAAAGGAATCTAAAGCTTCTTTAGTGATGTTTGCAGAATTTCTCTACTGTGGCAGGAGTTCTAGGGATATTTGGTACTTATATAGGATAATATAATAGATGCAAAGCAAGAAAGCTTGTTAGAACAGAATTTTCATTCTCAGATATGGGTTCTGGCTACAAAGAAAAATTAAATTCCAATTTGTCATGTGGTAAGGATCATACTCAGCACTAGTGCCATGTTTTAATGCCATTCTCATTCACCATGCTGGAATCTGTATGCAGCTTCTGTTGCTTTGTTTTAGATGCATGGGTTTGTTCTTGTTAGAGCATCGCTCAGTTGTTTGTACTGACTCCTCGTGGTATCTGACACACAGAAACTTTCTTAATCATGTCTTTATTTTTCACAGATTCTCATTCAAAGCATGACATCCTTTTCACTTAATAAGCTGCATGTCTTATGTTTGCCATTGCTCTAAAACTAATTCTGTCTTTATTTTTCTTTTCTTCTCCCTTTTCCCTCCCATTTTATTTTTGTCACACACTCTTTATTCCCTCTCTGGTTTTTAACATTACATAATCTTAAGGAGTGCAATAAGAATAAGACCACTGACGCCACTTTTTTGGAACAGCCTGACTTTTCACAGCAGATACATCACAGTAAAAAGCTGTTCAGTATTCCAGAAGTAGCTGAAGAGGATGGTGAATACACTGAACTGCTGTACAAGCAGGGTTTAGGTATGCCCTATAAAAAGAAATCCACAATAGCTAGAGACTCTAGACCACCTAGGCCCTACAATCAAGATCAGCAGCACAACTTCTGGTACCCAGCCAAGCACAGAATTTCAGACATGGAGGATTTTGCTGCAGATGACAAAGGATGCAGATACAGCCGGTCCTTATCAAGAAGCCCAGACAGTGGACTGGACTGTGGAAGTGAAGAAGAGGAATCTCGTTTTACGTTCAGATACACTTGCGATTCAGTTTCTGCCAGTGTTGCATCTAGCTGTTGTGCAGACACTGCTGATTGTTCCTGCAGGAAAAGCATGAGGCCATTGCTTGCTCGCAGGAAAACTTTAACAAGGCAAACCAGCATTGAAGAAGATTTTGGTGACTTGGGATCTTCCTTTGTAGAGCCCAGGAGTGAACAGGTCAAGTCCAGTTACGAGAAAAAGTATGAGACTCAGAAATGTAATAGACCAGATAATTTGTCCAATGAAGATGTTCAGGGAGGCTGGAAGAACGACTTAAAAATGGCTGACTCTAGGGCAGCTGGTCCTCTTGCAAAGTCATCCCACAGAGATGCAGAAGACTCTTTGGTGTGTGAAGTAATTCTTCCTTCTAACATCTGCTTGCCAAATCAGTTTTCTTTCTCCTGTGTTTTTTTCTGTTGGTTTTGTTTTGTGGGTTTTTTTTTTCTGAATTAATTTTTAGAGTCCATCCTTTGGACCTCTCAGCTGCATTTTTCCCATTTTTTTCCTTCCCGTTCATTTTTGTTTATTATTCTGCGTTTTGCTTTACAGTCATCTTTTATGTCATGCTAAAATCAGTTTAATTTGCTTTACAACAATTTTCCCACAGAAAAAATTACAATAATGGCTGCTTTTATTAAAGGACAACTGAATCTAAATTTTAATTAAGGGTTAGCTGAACTACAATTTTTCCCAAAGAATGTTTTACTTTATTTTGCCCATCTAAATGTTGCTTTAAAAAAAAAAAGAAAAAAAAAAAAGAAAAAAAAAAAAAAACAACACTGCATTTTAACTGGAAAAATATTTCATCAGTAATTTTTATTTTAAATATCTCAAAGAATCCATTTCATCATATTCTTTTTGTTCATCTCACTCACTCAATTTTGAGGATATGCTCTTTATCATGAGTCATCTGTGGACAATCAAGACTCCCCAGTGTAACAGTGACCCACGTTTGTTGAGTCACAGGTTTCATCATATTTCCATTTCCTCCCTTCTCTCTGCGCTGTTGCCACTTCGACTTCCTTTTTAGATCATCTCTTCTTGCCTTTGAAGTTGCAGTCTGCATCTCTGCACGAGAATGCAGGCAAACAGCTTCTTCGAAAGGGAGAGGACAGGGCTGTTCCATATCTTTCAAGGATGCCTCTGTGTAATCCTGCCTAATTGTGTTTCTGTCCGTTAGTCTGGCAGTCTCTGTGCTTTGATAGCTGTATCCATAGGCTTCCCAGCTCCCAAAAGTTCAAACAAGTTCTTTGCCCGCCCTGTCTGCAGCAGTCCAGAGTGGAAATCTCAGATCAAGCGTGTTTCATAGAACAGTAGAAATCAGCTGCCTGCTCTTCTAGCCCAGCAGTCTATTCTGAAATGATCCTTAAAAATTTCTCCCATTAAAACTGATCCCCAAGCTGTATTAATCTCAGTGGCTGCATGATGAACTCTGGAGAGCATTGAAATAGTATCATTTCATTATTAAAGTAGCAGTGTTTTCTGCAAGGGTAATGAACAGAGGGAGACAGCTGTGATGTGAGATGAAATGTGTCTACATTCCCTTCTACATGTTTCAAGAACATCTAAAAGGCTTTAACAATCAAAAGCCATTATAGAAAAGCAGCGTGCTCAAAGGCAGAAGGATATACACTTGTTCACATGCTGCAAACTGGTCAAAGCTGCACAGCTGACAACAAAAAATTGCTTGCCTTTTCAGTGCAGTCCAATATCATGAACTCTCGTGACTGGTCGCATGACTCTTCAGGAGATTATGATGTCATTTTAGCAGCAACAACAAAGGCAAAAGAATGTTTCCAAAATTCTTTTCTTTTCTTTTTGTTCTGATGTGTGACTGCTGGTTGCAAAACTGCCATAAATCAGGGAACCATTTTTGTTTTTGCAGGTTTGCCAGGCAACAGTATTTACTTTTCAGCTAACCTTTGAGTTAAAAACTAAGTTTAGTTGCCTTTAGAGCTTTTGCTTCCAAATATGATTGACCTGATTAATGTCCAACCATGTAACCATAATGTTATCATGCATGTAATTTACAAACCTGTTTTTTCTTTTGTTGTTTTTTTAGCTTTTAGGTAATCCATCATCTGCAGGACGGCCTGAAAGGGTGGAGCATGCAGGGCGAAGGTCCTCTCATGGCAGTGCAGTGCCACAAAGGTCTCGACCAATGTTGGTCCCTTCCATTGGTTAGTTGGACAGATTGGTGCATTTCTGTTCTTTGCAGCCTCAGAGTTGGGGAGGCGATCCTTACAAAGGACACTTGTCTTGAGCGATGGGGTGAGATGGAACTAAAAGCTTCTCCATCTAAATACGAGCTAAATATAAGTGCACTAATATAAGTGTCTCGTGGGGGCTGAATTGCTAGGCACTGACATCACTGGGATTATTTTCATTGAATTTAATGGGTGTTGCTGGGTGTTGCTTGGGTTAGATGCTGTTAAATCTTACCTAATAATAATAATAATAATAATGCAGGCAGGAATCCCATCAGTAAAATAAATGTACTCATTTGATGATCCATTCAGCCATCCATCTTCCCATTCATCAACTGTCATTTTGCATTTACTTTCCATTTTCTTGACTACTTTTTGGAATTCACCTGGAGAAAATTGAAGCTCTTAAATGTAACAAGTTGGTAGAACTTGCATATGTCTACTATATTTAATCTCTATTTCTGGCTTATTTATGACTTAAAATTTATTCTGGTGTATACCAGGAAATCCAAAAAGTCGTGCAGAAAAGATAATGGAATCAAGATAATATGGCCAAATACATATTTGTAAAACTTGCACTCTATGCTGACAAATAAGGAACATTCAGACTGAAAAATCAGGAAACACATGCAAAACAAATGCAGCAAGAGTAATGTGAGCTATGAGCAGAACATTACTCCATGAAGACATAAAATCAGTCTCGTTCTTGTTCCTAAACCATGCTTTAATTTTTGAACACTGTTCACATCAGCAGCAGGAGCAGAAAGCAGTGTTAGGCAGTTCTCATCTGACATCTGTGTGGATGAGAGGCATCACCAATGGGGATTATCAGAAGGAAAGAGACTGATCATAAAGGAGTGCTTTTTTAAGAAAATACTGAATAATTTTCCCTTTGTATGAGCTTACACTAAAATGCCAGTGCTGTCAAAAAAAAAAAAAAAAAAAAAAAGCAAAATCCCCTTATTGGGCACAATTATTTGGATACTTGTTATCAGGAGTTATTATGAGTGCAACTGTAGGTCACAGTACACACAGCTGTAATACAAGAAACTGCCTTAATAGCTGCAGTGTAACAACATGGTTTTTCAGAGGCCTGATTCTTTCCCCACATCCTGCTATAAACCAGGATCATGCAGATATTAATGGAATAACTCTGATGTGAAAATGGCATAGAGGAGAATCGTCTCCAGGGAGGCTCCTGTGCTGTTGACAGGCTGCTGTTAGCTGAACCAAACAGCATTCAGATGGTGGTGGTAGGACTGTTAAATTGTCATGTCTTTTTTCCTTCTCGTCCAAAAGCAGCCTTTTTTTTCTTCAAGAGTAAAGATTCTGTTTACATTTGGACTACTTAAGCCAAGTATCTAATTTTTTTATATAAATAGTGAGAGAGTAGGCAGGCTTGTTTGAATTAGTACTTTGGGTTTCCTCTTAATTAAAAAATAGGGAAGTAATTTGCCAGAGTTCACTTTCTGTCAACAATTTGTGAGGACACAAATGGCAGCAAGTCATGACTGCTCTTTAGTGGTTCAGTAGCAATCAATCAGGAGTCAGATAAAGAAATTAATTGCTTATAATCAATCAAACATTATTAAACAGAATCTAAAGTCCTACGTTTGTTCTGTGCAACTTAAAGTATAAAAGGCTCAGATATCAAAAGGCCTGACTTCTGACTAAAAAAATTGGCATTTAAAATAGCTGGGAGACATTCCTCACTTCCAGCATCATACTGAAGTAAAACGCTCTGAGAATAGACAAGGGAGATATAAACACTAGATAAAACTCTGCACAAAGCTTGCTTCCTAGAAGTTTACTGGACGAAATTGTAGAAGATATGAAATGTCCCAGTTAAATGTATTTAACTCATTTATCAGGAAAGCAAGTTAAAATTATGCTGTCCAAAATCATACAGTAGAGGATTGCATAAACTTGAACTAACTTTCAGAACTTCCACTGACACAGAAATTTCCCATGAATAAGGGCTGCACATAGGATATTGGAAGAATGAAATTACTGTAGTTCTACCATTACAATATGCCAAAGTTTGGACTGCTTAAATATATGAAACTATTTTATTGGCTTCAGTATGCTGCTCCAAAATGTGGATCCCAATTGTCTTGGCAGCAGCTTGTTCTTTTACCTGTGTGCCTGGAGCATTTACTGAGTTATTCTGCATCACCTACTACAGGAAGTTCTTAAAGCAACTCTGGAAGGTTAAATGAGTGGGAAAGAACTTCAGTACTATAATATTGTCAGGATTCCAAAGACAAGTCTTTAGATTTTCCAAAATGTAAATTATTTGAGGCATTTTCTCCATTAAGCTATAAATACTTTGGATTAGTCATTGTTGAAGGTAGGATTTAAGTAAATTAATTAATTTTTGTTTTTAGGTTGATACTTTAGAAGGTGAAACACAGTTTACAGTGCTCTTGACCTTGCAGATCTGTCAGGTAGGATTATTTGAACCTCGTAATACAAGATGATTCCTATCCAAAGATCTAACTGATAATATTTACCCTGTTTGAATTTTAAAAAGCACAAAATTTAGAAGCTTTTAAAAAGGAGATACACCTTTCTGTGATTCCCCTGCTGAAGGAGGATCTCTAGAAGCTGAGGCGTCTGGCAAAGCTTCCCCACTGTTTAGCCTTCCTACTCTATGCCAGTCAGAAGCAGGTAGGGCAAAGCCTGCCCACAGGAGCCTCCACAAAGGCAACAGTGCGATATGTTTAATAGATCATTCCCTTTTTCTCCATAGAAATTACAATGGACAGTAACAGTGAAGGCGGGCGGTCTCGGTCAGGTAGTGAGGGAAATATTTCACCTGTAAAAGAAGAAGCTTATTATCGCAGCATTGGTGGACACAAGAAATGGCCTCAGCAGCGTACCTCTGAATATAGATACGGTATGCCGAACATTATTCCTCCTTTGTGACAGACACCTTGTAGAGCTGCGTGTTAACAAGTGCGGTTTCTGTATGACAACATTGCATGCAATGCAGAATGCCAGGGGAATAGCTCTTAAATCCTGTCTGCTGCCAGGTAAGTTTCTCCAACTCAGATGTGAGGGACAAACAGCCCTTAGCTCTCTGTCCCGAAACTGCTGTGCAGCCAGCCACCTCTCCATCCTTGGCTGCGTCCAAGCACACTGCGTTGCATGAACCTTTGTGAAGCTACCTCTGCTGCTACTAATGCCAGTCAGTATCTCCTGCACATACCTGAACAGCCATTCATCAGAATGAGCACGCTTCCATGCAGGCTGGAGAGGGTCAGCTGTTATGTCACAACCCAGCGTTTGATAGTAGGAGAACTGATGGTATTTGTTGCTTCATCAACATAGAAACCATTACATGATCAACAACTCAGTTTTCATAGTTCATAACTCAGTAAATTGGAGTGTCTTCACATTTAACCTATAAGAGCAGCCTAGGTCATATATAGAGTAGGAAACACTTTTTTCTTTATTTCCTCATTTCTGGATGAAGAAAATGGGCCCTGAAAATTTAAGCAAATAGTGATTGACTGTTGAGTCAAAGCAAACAGTTATTGACTGTTCAAAACATGACTTGCTTGCAGTCACCAACTTGTGTAAATTTGTGTCTAGCTAATGAATTCAATGCAATGGTGGTAAACTGCAGCAGCTGGGAATCTGGCTGGCTGCATCCAAAGACTAAGATTTTACATACACAGTTGTATGTGTGCATGGGTAGTATATGTCTCTTCAGAGAAATAAGATTTGTAGCTAATGAGCTAATGCTTTCTCATTCAACGAAGCAAACGTTGACTGTTTTGATTCAGATTATTACAGGTCAGTGCTTTTAACTGAGGTATGTTTGGCTATACTTTGTGTTTGCACCTAATTACCATTAATTGCAGTCAAAGTAGGATGCAACAATCTGTAGTTTAAAACGAACAAACAAGAAGTCCCACCTTTAACCCATCAGTTTCATATTACCTGTTGGGCATGAGTACAAACCACATGCAGACTGCAAACTGACTGTGAGAGAACACAACAGAGGAATCCCACCCTTTGTGTCCCATTGCTTTCTGTCCCATACGTGCATTTCTCCCTGACTTCCTTTCTGTGCTTTGTGTCTGCATAAAGCTTCTTGGCTGGAACTTTTCCCTGCCCTTTTGCTGTTTTGCATTTTTCCTTACTCACATTATTTCTTGTTATCTGGACCCAAGAGTCAGTAGCTGTTCCCTTAAAGCTGCGACCCTCTGAAAATATTTTCTGGTAGTTTAAACATCTCAAACATTGAATGAAATCTGGAGTTGTGGCAAAAAGAAATTTTAATCGTGATATTACCTACTGAATATTTAAACTATTAAGAGAAATTCCTCGTAAGAGATTATTGCAGTTAAAATTGTATTTGGGGAAACATTGATATAGCTACTACATTTTCATTGTTCATAATATCACATTCTCTAATCTTGTGAAAGATCTTGTAAACTAGATGATCAGTGTTAGTTTAGCAAAGAGTAAAAGTATGTGGCTCCCATTTAAGTGAGTGGGACTTGCACAATAAGTTTTACTGAAGTGGCCTGTGATTTTAAGTGCTTTATTTTGGGGTCTGAGGCTTCATGTATGAGAGAGCATGTTTGTTTTTGCTGTTCTGTTTTTGTTTCTGTGGAAGTGCTGCCATGTGCTCCTTCAAAGCAGAATTTTAAAATGTTTGAAACCTGTCAATCAAAACACTCACTGTCAGCTTTTCTGGCCTAGTTTTCTAACTCAGTTTTACTGAAGTTCATCCTCAAGTGTGTTGTTGATTCATGGACTAAATGAATTCTCCAGGTAACCTGAACAGTATGAAAGCTATAAGAAATGAAAAGCTAGTCTTCACCTTTAATATCCTAATTGATTGGATACCTTGCAGTACAGTGGCAAGTACTGTGATACTCATGGATGATCATGGATGATCACTCCTACCAAGCCTATAATTAAATGCAGTCATAGCTAACCACTGTTCCTGGATTTTATTACATTTTTATAGTGTTTGTGTTGTTTTGAGGCACTGCTGGCTATGTTAACTGACTCTCTTTAAACAAAATAGTAGTGTAGTTCCAACCCTGGCATAATTTAACACTGCTGCACTATGTATCTTCCTACCTGTCTGGAGAGAAGAGATTAGAACTGTGTTTTCAACCCTGCTGGGATGTGCTTTCTTATGTTTTGAAGAACAGAAGCAGCTGTGCTGGAAAATAGTTGGATCAAAAGCATTGGTTATTTTTGCAGCAATGGCAAAACCTGTCATCCTGTCACTCTTAAGGTGCTACTCTCATTTGCAGCAAACTATAGTAAACCTAAAAAAAACCCCAATTGTTTTGTTGAGCTGTATTCGCTTGTGTAAATGTTAGTGTGGTGTGCAGATCAGCAAACCATTCAGTGCAAGCAGATGATGAATATACTTTAAAAAAAAAATTAGTCTTACTGTTAAAAAAAAACATTGAACATGGTAGGACATACATTGAGTTTTCACTGAAATGCCCAATACTTTTTAAATATTAACTGGAATAGTTGAATGAAGCCAACTTGTATTACTGAGTTGTTGTTTTCTGAATTTACTTCCATAGATGGCTATGGTGGCCATGACCATCTTTCTCCAGATATGTATGAAGAATCAGAAACAGATCCTGGGACAGAAGATCTTTCTACTCGAATATTTGTTGCACTCTTTGACTACGACCCGCTGACAATGTCCCCAAATCCTGATGCTGCAGAAGAAGAGCTGCCATTTAAAGAAGGGCAGATCATTAAGGTGAGATCTAAAGACAAACAGGGCTAAAACAGGGTGTGCTTTTTCCTACTGGAGAAAGCAACTTGTGTGTCTAGAGTCCAAGATTATTTTTTTTTGTTCTCCAAGGTTTTGGCTGTAAATCTTGTTGGATTTGGAACCTAACACCTCTTGCTAAGGGCTTCAAAATGATTAGGTAATGGGCAAAAAGCTCAAAGTTGCCTTAGGTAGTTATGGCCAGAGTTACATGCTGAGACAGAAGCCCCCTATGTCCATTGTTACAAAGCCTACAGAGAAAACTGCTAAAGGAAATTGTCCTCCAAAGGTACTGTGAAAGTGCTTAGAGTACCTACAGCTGCTGTATCAAGGTTCAAAATCAGGTGTCTCTTTTCCGGAGTCTTCCTCTTTGAAACTCGAAAAGTTCTTTTCTGACTGATCAGTGTAAGGTGCAAAAGCTGACCCTTGAAGAGGCAGCAGAAGAAACATCAGCTCTGTTCCAGGTGGCAGTGACAGTGTTATGCTCCATCCTTGTCTTTATTCATGCCCTCTATCACAGCCTGCCTCATTATGATTGTGCAGCTGCAAGGCAAATTTGCTCAGCTTGCTATTCAGATTTTAAAAAGCTGGCAGATTTTTTATTTGAACCAGCAGATGTAAGCATTTCCTCCTACAACCTTGTATCTAAGCTGGTGCAAAATGGGTGGAAATGAGGAAGGGGAGAGGTGGGGATTCTGGTACTCAGAAGTTTAACTGAGATTTAAGTATTATCTGAAATTGAACCTGAAAAAATATAGACTCACTTTTCACGGTACATGCTTGAAAGATATAATTAATTGTAACTTAAACTATTAAAATATTTACTTCCTTCCACTGTGTTGGATTGCATCCTGTCTGTATACAAAATAATAAACATTTAACGTTAAATACTTCAGATCTTCTGCTTACCTCCTCACTGATGCAAATTTATTCCAAAGATATGGAAATTGTTTAAGAACTTTTCTCTGCTGCAATATTTATTTGATAATTACCAAATTTTTATTTAAACTATTTCCTCACTAACGTGTACATGTTTGCCACTGAAATGTCTGGAGAGACCCTATGTAAGTTATTTATGCTGACTGATGTTTAGTTTCTGTCTGGGTCTGTGGTAATTATTATGCAATCTGCATTTTATTTCTCATGACATTGATGTGAATGTGGCTTAGTTTGCATTTCCAAATTGCTTTTCACACATCACCTGAGCTTTGGGGTGGTGGTGGGTCAGTTCCATCATGAACTGTGTGAAGTCTGTCCTGTCCATGCATTGCAGTCACAGATGCTGCACTGTGAAGTAGCAATGTGCCAGGTGAGTGGTTGAAACTGAAAATGTTCCTGCTCTATAAAGTTACAGCTGATGAAAGGTCACTTTTTCAAACACCGATTTGAACGGAAGCGATTGGATTTTTGTTTGTTTTTAATAAAAAGAAATAAGGAAATTATTTTGCCTAAACAAGAAATACTCTAAAATTAATCATCAGTTCTGCCTTAAAGTCATCATTTTTGTGTGGTACAATCTTAGATAAAGGCCTGTCATTGGCAAACATGAATTTTTAGAAGGCAGAAATTTTATTTAGCTGTTCTCACTGATGAAGATTCGTGCTATTTTTGTAGCTTAATTCATGTTTCCTAGGAAAGCTGTTGGCTTTCAGTGTTGTCACTGAATTTTGTGCTTTTTTAATGCTAACAGAAAAGTCCCATTTCTGCTTAGAAATCAAAATTCAAATTAACCTAACAGTTTCAGTTCTTTAATTTAAATCGCATTAGTAAAAACTAATATAATCTTACATTTGAACTGTAATCATCTGTGCCTTGGGAACCATTTTGCCTTCATAAAGAATCCTAAAGGCTAAAACTTTATTGACCGACATTATTATTATTTAAATAACAGGTTTATGGGGACAAAGATGCTGATGGATTCTATCGTGGAGAAACGTGCACAAGGATCGGCCTTATCCCATGTAACATGGTCTCTGAGATCCAAGCAGATGATGAGGAGATGATGGATCAGCTTCTAAAACAAGGTTTTCTTCCTTTGAACACACCGGTAGAGAAAATAGGTAAGGAGCAATATATGTGCTTCAGTTCACATATTCTTGGGTGCTGTTAACTTGGCTGGATCTGCTTTGCCTTTTGTTTTTATTATATGCAGATGCATCTAAATTCTGCAGCAGTTTCCTACATTGAGGGATACATTCTGTGTCAGTAACTGGATGACTTTGTTCAATATTTAATCTTGGTCACACCTTTTGCTGCAAAGAAGGTTTTCTATCTTCACTACCCTGGTATTTTTTACAACTTTTTCCTTACCTGAAAGACACAGAACAAGATCCCTGTGCTTTGGAGTGTGCTGTGCTGAGGTGCCTTGTGATATGCTCACTGCTGCAAAGCATACAACGAATCACTTATTTGTCATTATTTATACTCTTCTACGTTTTCCTACTTGACCAATAATTTAAAGGGATTGTGGCAAAGGGTTATGTGTAATGTAATTTGGGACAGCACTACATATTGTCAGATTTAATGGATTTTACAGTAACAAACCCCTTAAAAAGCAGATTGGCCAAATGATTCCATTACGAACCACTTGCATTACATTGTTGTTACAGTGTTGTACAGAGGTACACAATGCAAGTATCTAACTAAGATTTTCTTCTAACTGTGCATTTCATAGCAGTATCTCAACACGTTACAAAGCTTTCAACATCATTCAAAAAAGTAGAAAGGGCTGGAACTGGTTCAGTCCTGTTTAAAAGTGAACTGTAAAAGTGGTTGCTAAAAACAAGTCTTCCACAATTGTTTTCTTAGATGAAATAAAACCTGATTGTATCCCAAAACATTAGCAAATATGAGACAAATTATTTTTGTTGCTTTTCAAGATATTATTTTCTAAAGTTCCTGTTGTCTATGAAAGGAAAGGACATCTTAAGTTCTTAATTGCTGTCATCTCAAATCTATTTGTTGACTTAGGCTACAGAAGCACAACGAATGTTCCCAGTCATGCACTTGTAAACCCCCCTGCCCATCTGCTCTGTAGGTACAACACAGACACCTGCACATCCATTTCAGAAGCTTGGGACTGGCAGACAGTGGGTCTTACAGATGTGCCTGCATAGGTTGGCTGTCCGCAGCATTGTTTTGCAGATGTAGTTGTTAACATGAGTCTACATTGTCTGAAGTCTGTTGGAATCGGACACCTAACCTGCTGTGGTTACACCTGTAAACACAACTGAAGGGCTGCTGGGATTAAGAAGTGTCTGAAGGTACTTCTAATTCTCTCATGAGGACGGATTCAAATACAGAAAATGTAATCCTCAACAGCTGTATTTGGAACTTACTGCTTTAAGACCTGCTCAGTGCTCTCAGTTCTTACCTAAGTCACTACTGAAGCCACAAATGTATTTAACACCCTATAATTTTAATGTTTTGGCTGTTTAAGGGTCATATTGGACAAGTATCTTTTTTCAGTGCACTCAACCAGCAGCATCTTCTGAAAGAGCTGAGAAATTCTCTTAGAAGGAGGAAGGCAATTTGAAATGGAAATTTTGCCCTGCTTTACGTTTTTAAGCACTGAGTTTTATTCTGAGATATTTCTGAGAGCTGTTAGCAACCTACCCCCAGCAGTTCACCTTTAAATATTTTAGCAATTCAAAAGTGTTGTTTCCAGTTTAACGTGGATTTAAGTTGTTAGCCACATAAAAACAAGCAAAAACACAACAAGCCAAAACAAACCAAAAATGCTCTTTTTTAATGGATTGGAGAGAGCAGTTAGTTTGGCTTAATTTAAAACTATGAAGTCTGAATAGCAGAGATCCATGTGCTCAGATCCTTGTTGTCACAGAAGCTGCCCATGTGGATCGTTTAGCAGGCCGTTAGTCTGCTTCATATTGTTGTTCATAGTCTTAATGTCATATCAGACACTTTACATGCTGTGTTCATATGGCTTTATTTTTCTTAATCCTTTGCCCACATTTAATCCTTAAAAGCAGAACTTTGAACAGCTTCATATCTTCTCTTCTTTTATTTGTATGCATTCCTTTCCTGAAGTCAACTGTGACCGTTTCAAAGAGAGCACACGCTCTGTACACCGCAGATCCAGAAAGTCTAAAAGAGGTCTGTGCTAAGAAACAATAACTTGATTCAAGCTGTAAATTAGCTGAAATGATTTGAGCTGTCTAGATTTATATATTTTTTTATGCCTTTGATCTCTTGGAAATCAGAAACTGGAAAATACCATCACATAGCAGATACATAGGGAATCATTTTTGGATTCCTTCCTTGCTCATGGTCCTTGAGCCCAGACTGTAGGCAGCGTCTTGCCCCAGAAAAGTACTTCAAACTGAGAAGTGCTACTCTGGAGGCAGTCGTCTAAGTGTGGGTTCTGGGAAGCCAGGGAACTGGGTCCTCCTCCTATTATGGTCCATGCCTCCATTTTGGATCTCTTTGTGTTCTGTCTATTCCCTTGCATTGGTAACTGGAAAAATAACTCAAATCCACCCCCTGCAAAAGTGATCTCTGACTGAATGCCTCAGTGTCAGCTGGAGGGTGATGTGAAATCTGTGAGCGCATGCTACACTCAGTGTTTGCTGCCACATTAGCTCACCTTTGACATTCGCCCACCTGCCAGGAGTCACAGGGTGCCTCCCAACCTCAGGTTTCCTTTGTCACACTGCATAATGCTCATCAGGCCTGCCCTCAATGCCTGTCTGTAAGTAGCACTAACACGCATGTTTCTCTTGCTGCAGCAATCATTTGCAAGAATCATGCTAATATCATTCAAATTTAAAATGTGGCCCATTTTGGACATTCCTGGTAAATGTCAACAGCAATCAGTAAACACAGCATGTGGTTCCTTTAAGCTACTACTTCACTCCTTTCTTTCTGTTCCCCACAAATTAGACATGTAAAATGAAACAGGACTTGAGAGTGAGTTTTTGTTGTCAAGGAGTCTTGAAAAGTACTGCAGACTTCTGAGTTAATGGTAACCTCTTTTGTCTTGGGACAGCTGAGTGCCCAGTTCTCACTGCAGTCTCCCAGCAGACATTTGAGTAACAATCCTGTGACCAGGGGAGGGCAGAGGAACAGGCAGTAAGTTTGGTAGCTGTACTGAAATGGAATGAAGCCATAATCAGAAATGTTTAGCTTTGTACATCCTCATGAACTCGATTCTTCTAACCAAGAATGGCAGAAAATTTCAGAACACTTGTTTTGCATTTGCAGATAAATACTGCTCAGAGATCTGAGTAGCTTGAAATGAAGAGTGCAAGCAAACTGTTATTGATGAAATGCATATGCTGGTTTGATACCTTTATCTGTGTTATTGGGTTTGTGGTAATCCATGGCATCTTATCTTTGTGCTAGAGAAATACCAACATTGTCACTGCACTGGTGTGAATGATGTGGGGAAAAAATGCAGACCGTGTGGCTTGTGTTCAAAATAACTTTGATAGCTTCCCTTCCCTTGCTCTCCTTGTGACTGGAACAGAAAGAAACAGGCGCAGTGGCAGGCAGCACTCGGTGACTACGAGGAGGATGGTCGCGCTGTACGATTACGATCCAAGAGAAAGTTCTCCTAACGTTGATGTAGAGGTATTTACATAATTTTTTACTGTGTTTACCATTTATGGAGCCGTAATTTAATTGAAACACAGCTGGTATTAGTAAGCACTGTTACACGTAACAGCTAATGTGCCGAAAAAAATAATTCAAAAGTAGAAATATAGAGTATTTTCACATACACTCGTATTTACTGCAAATTCATACAAGTAGAATTGTGTTCGTTGAAAAACAACCAAGGAATGTATTTGGTAGGATTTGTTTATTGTGGCTCTCCACAAATTGTCAGTTATGGAAATATGACTGGGCACTGTGTGTGTGCAACGTGTGTAAATCTATCCAAAATGAATTTCTGTAAGGACAAAAACATGGAGTTGTTACAAATAGTAGAGAACGATTCTTTTCCATTCGCTGCTTTGTGTTTCCATGTAAGATGGTTATTTCCAAACACTGCTCTACCTCACGCTGACAAGCCTGCTATCAGATGTCTGTAACCTACCTTACCATTCCTTCAAAATCAGCCCTTTTTTGCAGCTCAAACCAGCCTAGTTTAGCACAGAGGAGCAGCATTCATAGTATGCCATATTTTTTCTTAATTCATGTTTCTGAGCTTTTGTGGCTGTCTTGTCTCTAGCATTTTTTTAATAAGAATGTAAAAATATCTTAAGCAATCACTGAACATTAGCTAGATTTTCATTTAAACAACTGAGCATTAGCTAGATCTTCATTATAAGTTTATCTTCCATTTACCTACGTGCAGTCTCCCATCTCTGCATATTTGTCACCTTGTCATCAGCAACAATGGAATCACTTTTCACATTGTCTCTGTTACATGTTCTGTGCCCAGTTCTGTGCAGATATATTTTGAGTTCCTCCAGGGTGGGGTTGCATTCAGCTTGTTTGGCACAGCGAGTCCTGCAGCTGCCTGCAACCTGCTAAGAGAGGTGCTTCAATTTCACATTCTAAGAAAACCCAATGACTGCTCTCACAATTCACCTCAATTTCACTGTTTTAATACAAAAGAGTAAAAAATATTAAAAGGACTTACTGTTAAAAAGAAAACCATTAATGTTTGTCTAACAAAACAAATGGTTTTTTTTTGCAGGCTGAACTTACGTTCTGCACAGGGGACATTATCACTGTCTTTGGTGAAATTGATGAAGATGGATTTTACTATGTAAGTTGGCCTCTGCTTGTCCCTTCAACCTGCTACAAGCTCACTCAGAGCTGGGAACGCAGCTCCTGCAGCTGTGCAGCAGAACCCAAAAGACTTTGCTGTCACTGCTGAAGGTGGCTCACTCTTACTACTTCATCACAGGCTTATAGGGTTGATGCAACTCAGAGTTACTGCTGGCATTGTGTGAGTAATAGTTACAGTACACAATTTGCAGGAAAATGTGTACTTTGATCACAAATTAGTCTATATGAATGTATAAATGACTTTAATGGATAAGGCATTTCATCCAGGAAGAGAATCGAGATAGATTCTGCTCTGATGATATTTAATTGAGATTAGCAGTTCAGTAGTGTTTTGATCAGGGAACTGATCCCTACGACTCTGTCATTTGTTTAAGAATTTACTCCTGAGAAACAGCATTCCAGCAGTAGCTGTCGGTCAGCATCTTCAGCTTGGATTTCTTCATATCCACACCATGGTAGCTGCAGAAAACAGCCCTGCCAGCTCCTTCAGCTCCCTTTTACAAGTGACTGCTGCTGAGGGCCAGAAAAATAATTTGATTGCCTCAGAACTGCTTCACTGGCTGTGAAATGTAGTCAAAAGTATTTTCTTACCTTCTTGGTAACCTGAATTTCATTTAATTAAAGCATTCCCCCAAACTTCCCTTGTGTTACAGGGTGAGCTGAACGGGCAGAAGGGGCTGGTTCCTTCCAACTTTCTTGAAGAAGTGCCTGACGATGTTGAAGTCTATCTGTCTGATGCACCCTCACGCTACCTTCATGACACACCGATGCGTGCAAAAGCAAAAAGGGTAAGCAACCAAGTACTGAAAACTTAAATGTTTATTTTTCATTCCATTCTGTCTCATATATAATTTGGACATGAGTTTTAACATTTTAAACCCACTTGCTCATTTTAAATTAACTTTCAAGTATATAAAACATAAAAAGTAGCTTGCTACATTTAAAAAATGAAGAATCTAAATTAGCATTTGATTGCAGTCATTAGAGAATCTCAGTTATCATCTAAGTTTAAACAGCTTCTCCCTGGTGAAAGCAGTTACTGCCAAATGCTTCTGAACCAATCTTTTCTATGTGCACTATTTAGACAAAGGCAAAAGTTTTGTGAACAACAGAGCAGTAGAACCATTCCTTTAAGTACAAACTGTAAATGCAGCCCAGTGACAGCGTTCAGCTTTTACTCCTTATGGTTTTCTATTCCAACCAGCATTAACTGCCTAGAGTTTATAAAAAACTAATCATGTTTAGTGTCTCATTTTTTGTTTTGTTTCATCACTGCAATACTTTTATATATTATATATTTTATATATATTTTTATTTCTTTGCTCATCTGCTTGGAAACAGAAGAAGAGTGTTCATTTCACACCTTAATAAGGCAATGTAGCCTTCACGTAAGTGAGCAACTGAAGATACCAATAGAGATTTCAATTAAAGCTACCTGGCTATCTAATGCAAGTCTTGAAACTTAATTGTGGGGGAAAAGAAAAGAAATATGTCTCCAAAATGACTGGCCACCGAAGAAAAAGCTGTATGCTTTTGCTGTATCTACTGAAGTCAATTTAGGGATTTTTAGGAGACAAATCCTTTAACAAGGAATTCTTAGAAATACATCAATTAGACCTCACTGTATGAAGGTCAACATTTGGAACATATTTCTTCATGAGCTAAATGTTTATGTTAACAAGGAAAGGCGAGTTTGATGTCTGACTGCCCTGCAAACCAAAGCTGCATATTGCATTGTTAGCCAACCTGAGATGTGAGAATTCCAAGTCCCTTTATCAAGGAGCACAACACCCCAACCCTCTAAAGTGTCCCAATGAAATGTAAGCTGCTGCCTGCTGCAGTGTACAAGGGTAGAGCTGGCTCAGAAACTCCTTATGATCCAATACAGCTACTTCAATTGCCTTAAAGTATGTTTTCCATGATCAATTATACCCCAGTTTGCCTGAGACTGATTTTAAAAAAATTCTAAAAGAAAAAAAGTCCCTCCATATGGCCCAGTTTACTCAGATGTTCCTTTAAAATGCTCAATTAAAATACCAGAAACTGTTTGGTTTACCAATGCAATAGAGGTCTCAACATGAAACATGCAGCTCACTCAATGAATGCATTAGACTAAATATATGGTATCTTCAGGTGTACTTTGGGGTGCTTTACCAAGTTGGTTTTTTTTTTGTCATTAGGATTAGACCTTGATTTAAAATCAAAGTAGGCTTGAAGCCCCGTTGCTTAACTCACTGTTGCACACGCCAGTAAGCTGCTAATATTTTAACTTGATCTACAAGCTAAGAGAGGTTCCTAAAGCATGGATTCTACTATGACAACAGCACCTTAATAGATACTGCCACATTTTGTCAGCAGGGCACTGTAGTTAGGATAGGATGAGTGTAAGTAAGTAGTTTTAGCATTTTCATTCAAGCACTTCTGATGATTAAAACAAACAGTTCTTTAAGATATCTAGGAATGCTGTCATTAGTTATCGTGCAAGTATTCACCTTCATTCAGCAACTCACAGCTGCAGCATACACATCAAGCAGTCAGGGTCTTTAAGCTTTCTTTGATTGCAATTAAGGTTCATTTTAGCTTTTTTGTTTTTCTTTTCCTTTTTTTTTTTTTTTTTTTTTTTAAAGCCAGTGTGCCATCCTCTCAAATATGTATATAAAGTAATGTAGTTAATTTTAAAGAAAAGGCATTTAAAGGACATTAAGAAATGTGTGATCATTTACTGTTTGAGTAATTCCTCCTGGAAACAGTTTTGTTTCTACAGAATGCTAATCTCTAGTACTGAATATATTTGTTTTTTCTTAAACCTATATTTGAATGTGTCCCTCTTCATTTCTGTACTAGAGCATACTGAAATGCAAAGCCAGCTTTGCAGCTTCTGTGGCCAGTACTGAGGCCTGGGAAGCACAGCCAACTTTCTTTAAAAACATATGAACAAAATAGGGCTTCATTGGCATGTTTTCTATCGTCTACACTTTTCTCAAAATGTATCTATTTTCCATAAGCCCATATCATATTCTAAGCCACAAACAAGAACTGAACCAACCCTTTTGTTTAAGTGGGTAATGGGACAAGTGATGTTGCCAACTTTCTTGATGCTAACAGCTTTTAAGCTTTCAAACATTCAATAAATTATAACAATGTACCTAATAGGTTCCTCCTGAGAATACAGGTACATCAAGGAGAGCACCATCCCCCACAGTTCATCTTCATTCTGGGTCACCTACGTCACCTATGGGTTCTGGTAGTCCCGGGAGAGGCAGGGATATGTCCTCGAAAAAGAAAAAGGGGCTGCTTTCCAAAGGCAAGAAACTGCTGAAAAAGCTTGGTGCAGTGAAATGATTCATGTGCTCCTGGACAACTTGTAAAGCTTCCAGTCTGTGTATTTATTTTTTTTAAATATCAAAACTAGGGCTTTCATGACTATGCAGTACAACTTCACCAAACCTTTGCATTCTTAACTCTGACATCAATAGAATCATCTGGATTGCTTAAAACAGCAAGGAAAAATAGAGGTTTTTCTTTAAATTACAAAAAAAAAAAAAAAACCCACAAAAACACAACAGCTTTGTGGAATTAAGACCAGAAGAACATGGTTTTGTTTGAAGTCTATTCAGCACCTGCAAGTATTGGATAAATCTCAGCCTTTAGTCTCCTTTAACCATAAGGGGAAAAAAACAAACACCATTAATTCACTGACTCCCAGTTCAGAGATCATCCCCACTGTGTCTACTCTTACTCATTAAAGAAATGGTCTTGAAACTCCTAGTTTAATCAGCCTTGATGTTTTGCCTTATTAATGCACAATGATTTGTACTGTCTAATAAATATACAACATATACTTTGTACGTACTGTGTATTCAACTGTCTCCATCCTCCCTAAATCATGGTAACTTAAGATCAAATATGATGTTGCTGACTCCATTCAGTGTCTGATGGAACTCCTGGGAGTTTGGAAGTGTTGCGCAAAATACTTTTTTTTTTTTTTTTTTCATATTTCTTTTTCCTTCTTCCAAACCAAAACTCTTTCCGTGGATTTATTTTGTCAAGATAGTCACTAAACTGAAATCCAATGCATTCTAAGTTATTCAGAGCCTCACCCTCAGTTTCAAGCACACAAATTCTACCAACTCCAGTTCTGGAGGTTCTGGCTCACTGTTCTAAATCACCACCAAAAATAATAATAATGCTTTTGCTCCCCAACTTTGCTGGTGGAGGTACAATCCTAAATCAAAAGGCATTTTTCACGTTGCTGATGTCAGATTCAAGGTAAAATATTGTCTCACATCAAAGATGTGCTACATACACAAGCCGTAGCCTGTAAAAAGGCTGCAACAGGTGATAAAAATAACAACTGCAATATTGGCATCTCAGTAAAAAGAATCTTACACTGATGGCAGTCATTGGCTGTTACTATTTTGTAATTCTTGTCCATTTGTAAATTGTTTTTACTGTTTATACATACTTTTCAGACTGCCTTTCTTTTTGTAACTTATGGAAGGTTTGTAAATGAATGATCAAAGCTTCCCCATTGTGTCTTCAGATAATATTGTAAATTACTGTAAGATACTGTGTGCTAGATTGTAACATTAAAGAAAATAAATGGCCTAAATTTGTGGTAAAGTACTGTGTGGGTGTGTGCATGTGTACAACTGTTGTGTAATATATTTTATATAAATAAACAATTTGATATTTTGTAGAGTGCAGCATTTTTGTACCTCCTCTGTACCCACCTGATCTCTCTGAAGAATGAGACGTCACAGGTACGACGCACAGCAGTGAGCTGTGCTTGCAGCAGCTGTGCGTTCAAACACTGCACCCACGTGGAGGAGAAGCTGGATGCAGCAGCAACCTCTGAGCTGCCATGAGCTGCCTACAGCATCAGTCACACTAACCCCACATTCACTGACCTCAAACAAAAGAAACCACGTGAGAAGGAACAGCCTGGACAGGCACAAGGAAGTAACACTTAGCCATGAAGAAGTAAGGGACACTGAGTACTACAGTAGCACTACATGGCATCAGTAAGGTGCAACACTTCCCCAGAAAAACATACACCTCTCCATTACAAAGTACAAGTGCCAGAAAGAGGTTGATATTCTTTCAGCTGAGGGAAGAAAAAGCCTAACTGAATACAGGCTGCAGAGCTTCCTTGCTTTCAGAGCTGTAGGAAGCTGCTCGAGATCATTAAAGAATAAATCTAAATGCAAAACTCCAGAAGCTGTACAAAGCCAAAAACTGGTTACAGAAGTTACACTAGCGTGGCACAGTGTATGCTAGGGCCAGTCTTTACTAATGCAGAACAAATACATCTAACATGATCAAGGGAGCAGGATTACAACTTTATTTAAATCTTGCAAAGAAAAGTAACAGAGTTTGTGAATCAGTTTCAAAAAAACAGCACTAATCAAACACTTCTGTCTGAGCGAGTTTAACAGGATAGCTGGTAACACAACAGCTGAAGGAGTCCATGTTTTGCCTTACAAATTAAGCCATTCCTGCTCAACAGTTATCAGCAAGAACCTCAGAATTACAATCTGAACTGACACCTAAACCCTTCCGAATATTTGGAAGTGAAAAACCAAAAAGCCTTGTAAATAACACAACTTTTTTTTTTTTCTTTTCCCCCAAGTCAGAGCTGATGTAGATACTGATGCTCCTCACAGGAAATTAAGTAAACATTTGTTAAATGAGAAGAATAATGAACAATCTCAACCACCAAACTGCATTCACTCCACCTATGAACCTGTGGCAGTTTCTAATAATGTTTTTCTCTACGCAGTTGAATAAAGTCTTATTCAAAACACAGGTCTGCTATCTTCAATCTTTTTCCTGCTACAGTGAAAATAAAGTCCCACAGCTGCACGTACTCATGCATGTGTCTCATGGGAACAAACAAATCAACCCAAACCATACACTTCTAACTTCCCAAGAAAGGAACTTTTTTGGTTAAACTGGTAACTTCAGAGATAGTAAAGTCTGTCTGAAAGCAACATATTTGGTTCCCTGTGAATGCTCTGTCCTACAAGGAAAGCCAGTTTATGGGCATACTGGCAAGGAGCAGGTACTCTGATAACACCCTGCAGAAAGGGGGAGAAAAATAAAAGAATTACTTTCAGTTAACAAAAGGAGTGCTGGAATTCACAAGTCACAATTCCCTGCCACTTATGCAGATCTGTGAAACACTGCTTACACTGAACGCATTAAAAAGGACTGTGCAAGCATTTTGTATTTGCCCTGGTTTTTATCAGATACCCTTTTTCTACCTTCCCGTTGTTTCAACACAGATGCTCAGAACAAGAAGAATTCTCCTTTCCCCAAGGAAATACTTACCGACCAGTTATAGTACATGTGGCAAAGTTTGTAGGTTAAACGTTGCACGTGATCTGGCTTCAGCTTGCTTGTGTCATATACTACGTTATAATGAGTGGGTGCAACACAGCCATTTCTCACTGCCTGACTCACAATAAAGAAATCATACCTGTAAGAGAAGAAACAAAACCCAAAAGTCTGGTTTTCTTAAGAAGAATGGACACACCCACCAATTTCTCCTGTTTGTTTCTCTAGAATCACTTCATAAACATTCATTAAGCCCCAAAGCATACGTTTACAAAACATTCATTTCCTCTGTTGCTGAAAGGCTAGATCTTCAAGAACGGAAATCAGACCGTTTCCATACGCTTAGATGAAGACCATGAAGGTCTTCTCTCTCCTGATGTGCAGCATAGATGTAGCTTATATTCGTCATTTGTGTATTGTTTCTGCAGAAATGCTCTGTTCTACAAGAAAAACATCATCCTTCATGCAAGAAATAACTGCTGGCCACAGTGCACCTGCAGTACAAGAAAGCACTGGTAGTAAAATACAAAAAAAAAAAAAAAACAAGCCAAACTGGCTATTGTAACAACAAAACTGCATTCTATCCCATGTGCTCCAGCATCCTTTGGTCAAATCTGCGCAAACTGTGGCATTTTGAGCAACCTCTGCATTTTAATCAATACCCAACCTGAGTTCCATGCAGTCTAACTTGCAACAATGGAAAGGTGAGGAAAGTCTAACAAGATGCATCTGTGTTTTATATGAACACACACAACTGTGCCATTCTAAGTCTTTTTCCAGTGATTTTTCAATCACCAGCCAAAGAAAATTTCCCAGGTTTGCTCAAAGAAGTGACAACATTTAAGTCCAATGTCAAAAACTAAAGCCAGACAAAATTTAGTTTCAGACAAGGACAGTTAGACAGTCTATCAGCAGTCAGTCATTACTTAACCTTTAAAAGAAATAAATCAAGAAAAGAACTAAAACATACACTTACAACACAAATAATATTATATTTCTGACAGGTGCATATGAAAGCACTGCAGAATAATAAAACTTACACCTTCTCATTTCACAGTAGGGCATCATGTCAAAAGGGCACATGTGAGGAAGCATTCTGCTTGCTCCCACAGTCCATTTAATATTGGATAAGTTTATTTCATTATCAGGTTGCTAACAATGGCAAGAATACCAGAACTTACCATTCTGGTCTGGTCACCTCTATATCAACAACAGTACCAGGGGGTGGGTTTTTAAGTCCTCCAGCAACCTGTGCAAAGAATCTGGTACTCACTCGTTTCTTCACAACAATCACAGTCAGTCTTGGACTAAAATAAATAAGTAGAATTAAGGGAAAAGAAAATAAGTCAGTCAGTCCTGGGGGGAAAAAAAAAAAACCAACAAAAAAACCAACAATGTAGAATATTTCAGGAGCAGATTCTCTAGAGCTTCCAATTAGAAAATAACTAGAGTTCTGCAGGACATCAATTTCACAGGGAAGCCTTCATTAATTTAGATTAAGTTGGACCTTGTTTGTAACTTTTAAATTTTCAGTTTCTGGTGCAACTTCGATACTATTTCCCCCCAAATTTGTTTATATTTAATTTCACTGGGAGACAAATAGACCAGAAATGTTCTCCTAAATACAAATTTGACTCTATTATCTGTCTCCTTTATCTTTCATAGATAGAACACACTGTGTTTTAACAGTATTTTTGATAAAGAGCAAACCATTACAGAAACTAAACAGAGGAAGTAAGCGTTTCAGTTTTGCCTGCTTGTAATTGTTTATAGTTGTTCTGTGTTCTGCTTGTCTGTTGTTTCAGGAAATAATTTCGTCATTCAGACCAAGAAAGAGATCGGTCAAGTTAAAGAAATCCCATAGCAGGGAACATTTAAAGCAGAACTGGGCAGAACTTAAGGACTGCCTTATTGTACAGTTGCTTTCACTGCTACTAATAACAGTTGTTGATTACCATATGCATCAAGAATGACTGAAAGAAGATCTGTAAAGGTCTGCACATTGGGCACTGAACACTCGTGGCACATGTATTTAAAACATTTCCTATCCTATTACACAGTGGGTACCTCAAATCATGTAAACAACCCTCAGAAAAGCAGCTGTTTAAGCACAAGCAAAAATAAACAAAGATGAAAAGAGCAAACAATCTAAATCAGCAGCCACTCTTTGTAACCTGTTTCTCTTGTAGTATGAGACAAGGGGCCAGTAGAAATGGACTTACTTGTAGTCTTTACCAACGGTCTTCAAGCAATCCAGAAACTGAGGCACTTCATAATTCACCAAAGTATTGAGCTGCCCATCTCCTACACCATCACGATACACAACAATGCGAGAGGGCAAATACTTATTCCACTTGAACCATTCTCTTAGAGCAGCTAAGAAAAAAAGAACAGAAAGGCATTTCTGAATCTGCACTGTTAAATAATGCTCCTAATAACCATCAAGAGAAATAAGCAGCAATCTCATGGTGATGCAACATGAATATACAAGAGCAAATCAATACTCCACTAGAAGCACTGTTCACTCCACCCCCGAATGTTTCAGGACTGCCAGTTCAAAACAAATCTCTACCCTGGACGAAAAAAGAAAAATCACATCTATCTTAGAATGTTGCTTCCACTTGTTCTGTAGGGTAACTTCCTTTACAGAGATGCTGATGCTCCTCTAAATCTTTCTTGATGCACACTGACAACAGTTATTAGCTATTGTTAGAAGATACAGGAATCAGCAACAGAATGTATGAAAAATAATACACATCTTTAGCAATACTTATTAAAAAACCATTAATATGTTATCTAAGTACAGGTTGGTAATGCTTCCTTTCAAGACACATAAACGGACATCTTCTGAAGAAGGGAATTTGTCATTCCTTAACTCCTTCTCCACAAGAGCAGAAAGCTTTCCCTTACTTTGCAAGCAGGCTTTAAGCCCATCCACAAGTTCCTGCCCACGGCTTTGAACAACACAGCGTGAAAACCACCTGTGAACAACAGAAAAAAGTTTTGAAACATTTACAGGGCTTACTTCTAAAAAATATATGTATTTTTAAATTAAAGTGGCTACGACTACTCTCAGACTTTATGGTTACTGTGGGTCAAGGCAGTCAAGCAGGAATTAGTGTGCTATGAGAACATTCTAGCTGCAAAACTCTTGTGGTAGACAAGACCCTGAGCACCACGTTAAATTCCCTTCGATCAAAAAAACATCATTCAAGTGAACTCAAGTGGGAGAAGAGCTGTCGCCCTGACACCCCCCCACACCACCCACTTGCTCTCACTGCCAGGTGCTCTGGAAGAAGGACAAGCCTATTCTTTAGCAGATACAGTGCAAGGAAGAACTCAGGAGCAAAGCAACTATTCCTAT